GGAGAATGTGTGCTTCGTGACATTATACATTATCGCACTGACAGTATCTATTTGAGAGAGGATGGGAAACGGTCCTAAGATGCACATGATCAGGAATTATTTTCCAGCTTTCTATTCTCCTTTAGTACAATTTAACACATGTTTGAACAGTGAACAATACATTTTTAACAATAAATATTTGTATCTTCCTTGAAGACATGTCACTATTAGAAATGTGAAGTACCAGCTAATCAATGATCTTTGCTGTTTGGAGATGTTATTTCCACACTCGTATAGGTCCATCTGTTAGATTACTGTCTGGCTTGTCTCATGAAGGAGACCAATTGGCCTCATTTGGAGCCCAAATAGCCTGTATATATCACAAGTGTTAAACTTATTGCATTTGATTGTACAGGGGCTGTGTGCAATTATAGTTCACTCAATATATGTAGCAATGATTAAATGCCCCTTTGTAGTTAAATTGCAAATATCTGCATTATGCACTAAATCTTTACTATTAAAAAACAGACAGATCTTGGGCTATTGTTGTAATAATTGAGTTTCTGATAAATATCAGTAAGCGTATCGAATTGAACTAGAGAGGGTACAGTATGTAACACTCTTGAGATGCTTTGTGCGTTTGGGATTGAGCCAAATTGACAAAAACCCCGAGGGAAGATCTTAAATTCAGCCTGCGTCAGCATCTATGCCTTCCCTCAATCACACACACACACACACACACACACACACACACACATCCATTCAGACCAGCTTGCTGTTATTGATGAAGCCACCTCTTTATATGGTAATGCCTTTCACACCTGAAAGGCATCAGGAGGGCCTGATGGCTCTCTTGCTCTCTTTTCACATGCACAGATACACACAAACTATACACTAAATTCCCTCTTACGTCTTGCCAGAAATACACACGCGCGCGCCAACACACACTGTTATTCACATAAACTCCATATATTTTCACCCTCTTTCTTCCTCTCACCAACGTGCACACAGCTAAGAGGAACCCATTAACGCTGATGAAGATATGTATGCAGCTCACATCTGTCACATATCGCTGCCGTGGCAACACCAGCTGCCGTGGTTACTGGAGGCCTGCTTCTGTCGTGTTATGGGATTTGGTTATTACAGGATAGCTAGCTACCTGTGTGTGGAAATACATCCCTTTGAGGATAGACTACAGAGCAATAACACTCCACCATTTGATTTGATAAGTAGACTAATTATAGACTAATTACTGTTTTGGGGTGAAAATTGCCAAGTGAGGGGGATTAGTTAAATAGATTTTATCCTCAGGAGTTTAACCCCATTTGTTTGTAAAAGTAATTTGGAACTGCAGATTGGTCAGACGCTCTCAACCTCAGCTTCTTAGTCAGACACAAGTTAATAGTTTGGTATTTTGCAACTGAACGGATACGGGGGGGATTTACACAGCATCAGCAATTAATGGTACTCGTTATATTTGGAAAATACAGGACATTTTGGTAAATATGCAAAAGAAAGTGGCATCCTGCTGGTTTTGTCTGACCTACAAAGATATTAATTTATTTTTTGCACGATAAATGACACCTCACAGATTAAGAGACCGTACAACAGTTATCCACCTCTATTCACCATAAAACTCCAAAACCGGAACACTATTTTCGATATAATAACATTGGTATGTTTTCTTAGGTGCAAACGTGGTGCATGGAGTAGAGAGGGCGCACTGGGAACTGCAGGGTTGGTAGTTTGAAGCCTGGCTGCTCCATGTCCCATGTTGAGGTGTCCCCGAGGAAGACACCAAACCCTTAATTGCTCCCTGAGCTAAATGTAAAAAAACATGTGTCAAAAATGCAATGCAAGTCACTTTGGATGAAAGCGTCAGCTAAATGGCCTGTAATTTAATGTTTTCAGATAAGATAAAACAATGTTTCAAAGCTATACTCATCAAGCTATTTGTCAGTATTTGCATGATACAACTGCATTGTTGCACTTGGACAAGGAAGCTGGTTACTGTGTAAGGATATGTTATTTCTGGATGGACTTCTTCCCTTTAATGGAATAAGGACTAAAGTTAGACCACTTTTTCATACACAACAACAAGCGTTTAGGTTCCTGTGTAACTGCACTGGATCCGTGATCCCGGCTTTAGTAATCTGCATTGAAGTCCAAAATATATGTACTATGTAAGATACTGGCAGTTGTTAAATCTACAGATACATTTTGGCAGACACATCAATGGGTCTGGTAACATCAACATTTAAAGTGCAAATATATAATAAAAACTCCAAGATTAAAGCAATTTCAATAAATCTCAAGTTGCCAGAAAGAGGTCCTCCGGGAGTGACTATTTTCACAAACATGTCTCTTTTGGTTTCCTTTTTATGTCTTAAGTGGAACAGTTGATGTTCCTCTTTATAAACATTCACGATTTTGACTTGCAGCTGATTGAAAACAGACTTAAATATACACGTACTTACAGAGTGGCCCACTTTCCCCGGCTGAACTGCACCGAAACCCTGACCCCCTGCATCCATTTTGGATTTTGGAGTGTAGCCTATATAAGGGTGGAACAGACAGACAGACACTCTACTCGCCCCTGATTCACTGTTGCTATAAACAACCGTGGACCGGGGACAGGGGCCTTAAGTGAATACAGCTGTGTAGCCAGATGTGCTTTGGGATCCTGTGGATATAAATGTGACTGAATTTTGCCTGCATCTCTGAGAGTAAAGCTGGAAATCTATTCTGCTCATTGTATCCACAGAGAACTAATTTTGCAAACTGTAACACGCTGCCACGCAAACAAGCTAAATGCCTGACAAGCGCAACGCACACACAGAGCTACAGACATCCAAACAGCAAAATATTCACGGTAAGACCGGTGAAGGTCATCATTAGCATAGTATTAACAGCTCTGTGTGTGTGTGTGTGTGCGTATGTGTGTGGCTAGCATGGGTAAAGCATGACAGGTCTACATGGTTCAGAGCTCTGTGCGTGTGTGTGGTTGCTGGATGTGTGTTTTCATTCTAGCTGTGAGGGGTCACATATGTCTCAGTGTCCTGAGGGAATAACATGGGGCCTCTTGCGGACAGCACAACAGGAAGACACACACACACTCAGCTGAAGCGCTGCTGTGGCACATTTGGCGGAGGAGAAGGATTATTAGGTCACATGCTTCACCAAGGACAGGAGTCCTTTTCCCCGCCACAAAACACCTGGGTCGGTCAGTCCATTCCCGTCGTAGTAGGAGGAAGAAACTATGCTTTAAAAAAGTAAAAAATATATTGAATACCCAAATTCTGTTAGCCGCAATTCAACAGGACAGTGCGGCTATAATATTCTAAATGTTGGATTGACCTTCACAGCTAAAAGTTATATGTAAAAAGTACCACGGAAGATAGAAATTAACAGTGAAACTACCCAGTTAGCTGCATTCACAGTGTATTACACGCACAAACTCTGTTACTCACTACAGTGTATTTTTCATTCATACTTTTGAGTTTAAATCTCTCAAGGCAATGTTTTTCATTGTCAAAATCCTCGAGCCAAAGATAAATATTTGTGTTCCCCTACAACAGTTTTTAGTCTGCATAGTTGTGTGTACTACCGTCAGTGTTACATTTAAGCCAATTCCCACGTCTGCAGCTATTAAACAAACACTCTCTCATCTCATCTGATGTTCAAAGCAGAGAAATTATCTGCAAAGACACACAGCTCCAATAACAAGACTGTAACTCGTATGCCTGTACTTATCCTACATTGCAATACAGTTAACCACATGCTTAAATGAGCCTGAACTAAACCTAACCTCACAATAGCATTTTAATTAGTGGTCTACCCACCAACAGTTGCCATTAACCCCCACTGTTCCTATCAAATTCCAACTGTCACGTCGTTGAGCTAATGAGAAGAACCCACTGTTTCCACCTCCGTCTCTGTTTTAATGGCTGTACTGTGAGTCTCTCTGTCCCTCTATAGCCCATATATCTGACTCCAACTCGCTGGATGCACTTTATTAGCACCATGGTGCATAATACGTACTTATTTGTTACCAATTAACTCAAAGTCTGATGCGTGACCCTACTGCATTTCTAAGTCACATCCATTCGACTGCAGCAGAGGTATATTGAACCCGGAGGCAAAAGCTATGCCGGCTCAAAAGCCCTGGCAAGAGGTATGTTGTTTTTTGTGCTTTAGAAGTGCCTAACCACTTGTTTTCTATCACCCAAACCAAAGTCAAAACCCCAAATCTGACATTTTTAATTGATAACGTCTATCTTACACCACAGCACAACCTTCATGAAGCATCTATTGTTGGCTGCCGCAAAAATAAATACACAAGTTGCATCTGTCAAGTATGATTTGCTGGTTAAAAATCACGGTACTAATGGAATCCAAATAAAATGTACCCAAATGAAAAAATTACATCACCTCAAAGAATATGTAAATAATAAGGCTGCAGTCTATCTATAAGGATTCATGTCTGCCATGTTAATCCCCTCAAAAGGAGAACAATTATATTGAACAAGGAAGGTCCTTGATTTTGGTGTAATGATCAATTAGGTAAACTGGAGAACTATTCATTTCTTTTTGGCACTGTGTCAGAAAGTGATGTACAGCTTCAGGTAAGATCATTATCTTGAATCCCAAAGGCTGTTCAGTCGCTGCTTTTCCCCACAGCTGGTCAAATGAGCGTTGGACAAATTACAGCATCCTTATGATTTACGAGAACAATAACTGTGACTACACAGCAACGCAGCAAGCAAGGGAATGATTAGAGACCCAGTCTTTCATGAGCGACCAAGTTAATATGTGTCACTGTGCAAATGCCACAGTTAATGAAGGGACAAGTTGTTTTTGGAAGCTGTGCTACTGAGCACATATCTACTCACCTCTGGATGAGTGAATAGGTAGTGCAAACACATACGCACTAGGACTCACACACACACACAAACACACACACGCATACATAAACACCAACACAAATTCATACCCAGGCAAGAAGACAATGTGATTTGTACCTTGCTGGAGTAAGGTCCTGGGATGAGCAGTTTCAATGCTTGTCTTTTCAGCTCTGACAGTCTAGCGTTGCAGTTCTCACACCAAATCACTCTTTCACTGCCGGGGGAACTTCCGCTGCCCGAGGCTGGTGATCCTGTCCCAAAACCCGGGGAGCCGCCCAGAGAACCAGGCGACTCTGTCCCAATCCCCGGAGAGATGGTCCCTGGCGATCCGGAGAAAGACCCCGGTGAGGAGATCCCAGAGCCTGGTGACGGGGTGCCAGTGGAGCTCGGCATGGAGCCGGCACCCTCTGGGGCGGGGCGCGTGCGACTGTTTTCATCGTAGGCCTTTCGGTACCATGTGTCCGGGAAAAAGGAGGCAGCTTTGGTTGGAGAGGTGTCGGGCATCTGCAAAGAAAAATAAGAGGAGAAATCTTTTTGGCCTGTCATACGAAAAAGCAAAGGTTTAACTAATAATAATCAACAATGGATGAAGTACCTGTATGTTTTGCAATTCCATTAAAATAAAGCCTATGTTGTGTGAACATGCGCAAAATCCCACTCATCCCAGTGCACACAACAGGTTGTCCAGGGATTAGTATTAAATAATGAGGAGGAGGTAAGGGCACGTGTGTTGTGTCATGCAAATTAGAAGTCAAGCAATTTGCATTTTGCCTGTAGAGCAAAATAATGATGTGGGTTCACATTATCTACCAAGCTATATTCAGTAGGCTTCCTGTTTTGTTGAATTTCACAAATAATTTGTTTGTGAGTGCTAACAAACTAAAATAACACAGTATCTAAAAAACATGAGACAGAATCAAAGCAATTGATTTTGTCCACAAAAAATTGATTTATCACGACATATGATGCCATTAAAACACACGCACAGTCAGATATACAGTCCAAACTAACATTTTGGAATTACATTCGATACGGGAACAAATAAAAACACAATGAAAGCAATGTTAAACATTTACTGTGACGGTGTTACAACGCTAAGTTAAAGTGTCAGCACATTGGATGATTCTTTAACCATCTAAAGAGGAATAAGTCAGATTCCGTGTGGAGACCGGTCTTATTTTTCCTTACTCAAACGGCCACATTGGAACATGAAATAAGCCACAAGGAATTGAAAATGAAATCTTTTGTGGCTGGGTAAATGCAGCCAGAGAGCGCAGACCCATTGATGTGGTGGTGGCTGGAGAGGTTGGGTGCTGTAGCTCCTTTTATCCCTCATAAGGGCTGTAATAAAGAAGCAATGAGTAGGCTGATAGGTGGGAATGCTCAATTATCTCCAAATAAAGAGGTGGGTATAATGTGAGCCTACCCTATGTTATAGATTAACACTAATTATGCCGTAGGAGGTAGACAGGGACACAGGTGTGAGTTGAATTCAAATGGTTGCTTCTCAGTTAGTGATAATTAAGCGATGTGTGAGATTTATCTCCATAAAGTAGTCTTTGCATGAAGATAAAACCGAATGGTCTTTTCAACTGTTTTATTTTTACATCAACCTGAAGAAGACGAGAAAAGGTGTGCAAAAATCCAGTTTCCTATTAAACTGGGTGTGCAGTGTGAGGTGAAGGGCATGGATGGAAGATAAGTTTGTATGTGTGTTTACCCAGAGGTAACAGAGGTGTGTCCACCACTTTGGCGACTGGAATGAATAACCTACCCCATATTTTCTGCTCCGGCTGCTCACGGACCTCTCCTTGGTCCCCGATAGGGAAGTCATGTTGGAGGTGACAGGATCTGGGGAGGGAGGGAGGAGAGGAGTAACCCCCTCTGGTGCAGCTTTCACATCAAAAAAAAAAAAAAAAAAAGACACCGACGGATCGATATCAATTAACCAGCAGCCGCTGCAGCTGTCACGCCTCTTCCGAATGCACGTGGAACCCGATAAACATCCCCGTCGCCAACGAAACACGCATACAAATCCCGGACTGCTGTTGCCTCGGGAGGAAAAACCCTCGAATCACTTTTAGAAAACACGATCGGAGGAGTCACACACACGGGTTCGGACGCGGACGCGGACCGCTCCCCCCCCGCCGGGCTGCTGCTGTGCTGCTGGATGAGGCTCAACAGCTCGCCGGACTGGCACGCGCTCAGACCTGCCTCCCTCCATCAGCTGTGCATCTGAGGCTGGTTGGCCATGCAGGTAAAACGAAATCCACCAGCTCCCCCTCTCCTCCTCCTCCTCCCCTACCCCGTCCTCCAGCCCCCACCCCGGGGCCGAATTCCGTCTCATGGGCTACCATTAAAGTCACGACTCATTGGATCGAGCTGGACCAGGCTGGGGGGAGACCACGGGAGTCCGATCCTCGATGTCACACTTACCCGGAAGCCTTCTGGTGACTTCACGTGGCTGCGCACTCCGCTGAAGTCAGAAGTGGACTGAGGAGACAGGGCAGAGGTGCGCATCTGGATGAGGGGCGGGGCCACCCTGCCCCCTGATCACCCGCAGGCTAATGCACATCCAGAGGTTTCTAGCTGAGTGGCAGGTAGACTATTGCCTGTTTGAAATGTGGAAACTGAAACTAATATATGAAAGAGACACCTCCAGCCCAGCTACACTGAGGCACTCAAGTCTTTTTGCATTTAGGGAATAACTGGGTAGAGGTTTTAGTGACCTCGTGGTGAAACATAAAAAATGGGAAATGGAAATAAACTGACACAAGTGGATCATTTTTGGCAGTAATTATTTTTGAAATATAACTAAATCAATGTTACAGGTCAACCCAAGACAAATGATTAATTCGTGTTGTGTTGCTGAGTGTGTGGAAAGAAACTGCAAAAATAATTGACGGTTGAAGATCGTACGTTACATACTATAAAAGGTAATCAACGAACTTGGAAAAAACGAAACTACTAAAAAGCGACTTCATTGTTGGTATCAGGTGAAAGTGGGATGGGGTCGTACTAAGTGGAATCTAAAATCCAGGCTCTGGCTCTGGGAGTCTCCACTTTAGGCAATTGATAAGTTCAAAATCTTTGGAGATGGAGAGGAGTCAGAAGAAGAAAAGCTTCAACATTAAGCTTGGCTGCAATAAGTTGCCAATAGACAAACTAGGGAATCGACCAGTATGAGGCAGTAGTATATATTTTGAGACCAATGCTGGTCAAACGATCAACTGGTAGGTGTCTTCATAACGTGCAGGCTTGGAGCCATTTCAATGACCATTTGTGTTGGAAAAGGTGTGAGTGCAGGATGAAGATCGAGGTCTTAGGAGTAGTAATATTTTCGCATAAACGTCCAATGTCCTCTAATGGCTGAGGCACGTGCATTCATTCATGTTTTAAGGATCGATGTAAATGTAAAAGATAGCATCTTATGCGCGGTTACACAGTGGCCTCTACTGTTATTATAAAGGTATTGCTTTGAGAAATACTTCTACTGCGTTCAATGGCTTTTATCAGGAATCAGGAATCAGGAAACATTTATTAGCCAAAATATGTCAAACATACAAGGAATTTGTCTTGGCGGTTAGTGCGCGACAGTAGACAGACAAGACAACAGTGCACAAGTAATAAAATAAAGTGGAATGAAATGCTAATGCAATGGGTTAGTAGAATAAGGCTAAGGCTATGGGTTAGTATAAAACAAGGGAATAAAGTTAAAAAATGTTAAATATTAAAAAGTTAAAAAGAAAAATATTGAGCATAAAGTGCGCTAACGAACAAGTAACAGACAAGAGACAAAGTGACAAGTGACAAAGTGATGAATTGCAGTTAAAGTGGCATGTGCAGTATGAGGGGGAGTGACCGGTGGAGTGTTATAGTCAGTCAGTGGGGGACCGGGCTCTGTTGATGAGCCCGACTGCCGACGGGAAGAAACTGTTCGTGTGGCAGGAGGTCGTAGTCCTGATGGACCTCAGCCTCCTGCCAGATGGAAGGGGCACAAACAGTTTTTGTCCGGGGTGGGAGGGGTCGGCCGCGATCTTTTTAGCTCGCTTCAGAGACCTGGAAGCGAACAAGTCCTGCAGGGACGGCAGATTGCAGCCGATCACCCTCTCTGCAGAGCGGATGACCCGCTGAAGCCTGCCCTTGTCCTTGGCTGTGGCTGCAGCGTACCAGACGGTGATGGAGGAGCAGAGGATGGACTCGATGATGGCCGTGTAGAAGTGTAGAAGTATTTAAGTGTAGAAGTATTTAAATCATTTTGGCATGACATATGAGAAAAGGCAAAGGAGTAACTAATAATAATCAACAATGGATGAAGTACCTGAATGAAATAAACATCAAATAAACAACAAACATTTGTCCAGCGATTAGTTAAAGAGGAGGAGGTGAGGGCACGCATGCGATTTACAAGTCAAGCTATTTGAGTTTGAATAAATATATTATATTATATATATATATATATATATATATATATATATATATATATATATATATATAAATATATCATATGTATATTATGGTTACAGCTATTTTTCAGTTGAATCTGCATGCTACTACATGTTGAAGCACTAACATTTACCTGAAGGTTTTTGTTTTTTTTCATACAATCCATATTACAAAAAGATGTTATTTCTCTTCACAGGACTTTTTGAAAAACAACAAAACATGAAGTCACGACAGGACAGTACCTGCGAGTGGGAGCGACCGGAAATAGTTGACATTTATTCACAACATCCCCACTCCGGTGCAGCAGGGGGCGCTACACGTTTTAGTGACGCAGCCAGTTCATGTGTCGATACTCGATACTCCAGCCGCATATGTGCAACTTTTCTCCCCGGTCCTCCTGGGGCTGATCGCCGGTAACGTAACGACGGTGCATGACGTGTGTGCGGCAGCTGGCCGCTAACGACCCACGCGAAGAGCCCGAGTCCAACACCCAGCAAGGTGTGCGGCTACTAGCGAGTGTCCGAGCACAGCAGCTACGACTCGTGAATCGCGCACCGCGGGGACCGTCCGCTCGGTGTCTTTGCGGGCAGATTGCGCGTAAAAACGAGCCGTCCGCAAAACGACAAATCGACAGCGGGGTGTGTGGGGGGAATGTTGTTGTTGTTGTTGTTGTTGTTGGTGCTAGAAACCTGTGCGGGTCCACCGGGCTGTCACCAACACGTCCCCGCTGGCTTCACGGGGTTCCGCCGGCCCGTGTGTGTGTGTGATGTTGTTGTTGGTAGCGTGTTTATGTTTGTGTGTCTGTCACCACCGGGGTGAACGCGGTGCTTTATCTTCCCTTTTGGACGTCTGACGCCGTGCACGTCAGTTCGTAGCCGGGACGTTGGAATGGTTCGGTCCGAATGGCTCGTTTCCGTGGTGACGGAGGTTTTTTTGGGGTGTACTTTCGTGCGATTAAACGTGTAAAACGCGTCCAATGCATTCAGAGGGAAGACGGTGCTGTTGTCTCGGTGCCGAAGCGGAAATGCCTTCTCGGTGTGCATCAATCACACCGTGCACGTTGGTAAAACAAGGCCTTGTCCTTCTCCTCACGCATGTGTCCTCCCCGTCCAGGTGAAATGTCACGCTTTGACCCTGTCCTCTGATCCAATGAAGCCATGGGGAAGACCCAGCCAACCAACGCAAAGATGAAAGGTAATACAACAATCTGGAATGATGTCAGTAATACAAAATAAACACACACACACACACACACATTTGAGAGCCTGTTGAATCTTTTTGAATGGCGTTGAAGGTGGATCTCGGAAAACAAAAAGAAAATCTACAGAGAAAGTCGCCTCGGACACGGAGGATGTAGATGCTCTGCCGGGCAGCCCGCTCGCCGGCGCCAGTTTCTTACCGAGTACCCCGAGAAGAGGCAGGAGGCGGATGGGACGGACGCAAGAATCACGCCTGACCTCCACACCCGTCCACAGCTCCTCCGCTGACCTCCTGGCCGGCGTTTCAGAGTCCCCTACAGGAGCAAAACAAGAAGTGCTACAGCCCACTCCGTTAAAGGTGGTTACTCATATTTTGATATTGTCTGTGCATTTTGAGCCAACGTGTTCTTACTTCCTGCACAGTTGATGCTTCATGTGAATGCCCCCCTTTTTGATATGTGGTCTGTGGTAGACGTCCGAGGTGGATTCAACTCCCAGTCAAACTCCCAAAAGCCGCCGAAGGGGGGCTCGTGCTTCCCAGCCGAGACAAGTCCGACTAAGGCTGTCGAAGGAGCGCGCACAAACCTGCAACACAAACAACGGCCCTGCAGCCGCGTGCCGACGAGGCAGAAAGCGCAATGCAAAAAAGGAGGACACCACTACTCTGCCAGCCAAACGCTGCAGACCCAGATTTGAACTGGAGAAGCTTGACGCATCGAGCCAAGGTAGCGTCGCCCTCGTGAATGTTTGATACAGTGTCGACGCAATACTTTCAGCCAGCGCACTTCAGACGGGCCTCAAAAATCCAGAACGTAATGACATGAGCTGTTCTCTGTGTGCAGTTATTTTTAGCTGAACCAGGCAGGCGAAAATGATTTGATCTAATTTTGTGATTTTGCCCCCCCTCACCCGCCCCAAACAGACGGCTCATTGCTCTCTTCAGATCTATCAATAGAGCTGAGTCACCACGAGGAACCGCCGCCATCTTTGTCCTTCCAGGAAGACGAGGGAAGCGAGGAGGATGAGCTACCGAGTTTCTTGATGCAGGTGGACAAAAGTGAGAGCGACGACGTGGCTGAATTTGAGTATTTCCTCTACAAGGAAGGCCCGGGTGACGGTTTGGATCGAGTGTAACGGCTGCACGCGTTGAGTGAATTACTATTCTTTCTTTCAGAGCCCCCGTCCTTCGCACCGGGGGCGTTTGTGTGGCACAAAATGAGAAATCATCCCTTCTGGCCGGCATTGGTGAGTGCAGAAACCTGTGAGATTGGATTTATCAGAAGTTTTTAGAACAATGGCCATAATATTTCAAAATGGGCGATTTTTAACATCTGAGAAGCTTAAACTAGGGATTTTTTGCTCATTGAATGATTTTAACTTTTTTATCAATTTTCTGTCATACAACTTAAAATTAGTGCAGGTGTGAAATATTGATCACCCGAAGAGCTCTTGCCAAGCCTTTACAGAACAGCCAATGCTGAAAGCCTTCATGTTTTCAAATGCAAACTATTTGTCTGCAGGTGAAAAGTGTAAACCGTAAGCAGAAAAAAGCCAGCATCATGTTCATCGATGAACGAGAGATTCACAAAAAGAAAGGGTAGGCAATGAGTGCATTTTCGCCCTCTACTTTGTTGGTGAGCTCGTCTGAATTCTTTTTTTTTTAAAGTATAAGTTTGCTTTTCTGCTGATCTTAATACTTATTCTGTTTTGTTTTGTTTCTCTAAGGTTTACTGTGGTTCTGAAAACCTTGAAGCCTTTTGACTGCGAGGAAGCCAATGAGCTTCAGGTAAGAATTGCTCATAAATATAAACAACATTTTAATAGTAATAATAATAATAAGTAATAGTGTTATCGCGGAGCAATGTATGACAATGTGTCTCATATTTAACTTCTAATAGTGTAAAGCCAAAGAAAAGTATGATACTGCGATTGATTGGGCCTTGGAGCTGATCACAGACTACAGAATACGGATCGGTAAGTATCGACCATTTAATGCTCATGCAGACAGAAATGGATAAAACTGCATTATTTATCTTTTTATTTACATATACAAAAAGTAAATAGAAACAGCATTTATTGGTCAATTAATTATTTGTAGTAATGAACTAATCATGTTTTGTCTTTGTAGCCTGTGGCTCATTTTCAGGCTCCTTCCTCGAGTACTTTGCTCATGACATGAGTAAGTTTTGTAACATTTGTTTCTGGGTTTTTTTTAATCGCATTGGCAAATTTCACAACCATTAAGTGCAACTTTAATAGCAGCTCCATAGGATAAAACAACTGTGGCATGTCTGCTAACTCACCCACAACCTTTAATTTATGCCTCAGATCTTACTAATCCTTTAAGCATATTGGTCAATACCACAAAAAGAGAGACGTTGTTTTGTGTTTGCTGTACTCAAAATGTTTCGTTACATTTAAAAAAAAGAAAATGCACATGCGCCTGCGCTCACCCACTCCAGGCTATCCAGTGAGGAGAAAGTACCCGAAGGCCGCCTCGGAGAGACTGACCATCAGCAGCGACGAAGGGATGGAGGCCAGGGACGAAGACCACACGGAGGACGGATGTAGTGAACAGCACGAGGACGTCTGCAGGAGTTCCAAGAGGCTGCTGCCAGACCGGACTCACGCCGCCCACAACCGCGCCAACGAGAAGCTGGTACATTTCATCGTGAAGCAGCGCATGGTGGACCAACGCCTTCTGGTATGACTTCTAGAATCTGAATGCGACCTGAATTTCATTGACCACCCACTGTAAGATTAATCAGTATCTTAAGAACATTGTAGATGAGGTGCCGTCCCTGAAGGAACGAACGCACACGTCCTGCTTGTCGCTCCCCTTACAGGCCGTGATCAGCGGGCAGCAGCAGTCCAGATGGTTTCGCTCTTTCCTGAGTGCCAGTCGGAGACGGGTGGTGAACATATACCTGGAAGATGACCAGCAGTTGGACCAGGTCTACTGGTACCTGAATGAGCTCTACGCAAACGCCAGGGCCAGCGCCAGCGCCCCTCTGCTGGCAAAGATGCGATCCATGGAGCGCGTCCCCTTTGTCCTGGATGTGCTTCTTCCTGAGGTGATCATTGCGTATCTTTTGTATTTTTATATGCTCTTCACGGTTTATGTGGTGTTGGGCGTAATGTGATCCGTGCCCCTGCACAGGCCATCATCCACGCCATAGCTGGAGTGGACAATGTCCCGGTAAAAAAGGCAGAAGAAAAATACCTAAGAGGACGATGTATAAGTAACAGGTAAGAGTCTGATGAGATCATCTTTCTTGTTCTTTCAAGTTGTTCACTGAATCTGAGTGTTATTTTCCATGACTTTTTCATTTCAGGGAAAGGCAAGAGTTTGACTTGATGATTGAACAGCAGATGAGGAAAAAATCAAAGCGTCAGAGGACGTCTGTTGCGCTATTCTCCGATCCCATCAGTTAGCCGGCTGAATATCCTAAAACAGGAAACTTATTTTTGTATTTTTTGATGTTTATTTACAGGGAACAGAGCAGTTGTTCTGTGCCTTTTATTGTCAATAATGAATGATATCGCATTAACACAACTCTCCATGGCCACTCCTTGATCCCCAAAAGTTTGAATTGCTTGCAAGATGTTCAAAGGGTGGACTCACAGAAACTGATTTTAAAACATCTGCAATAATCATGATGATGAGTTATGTCTTATTAGTTATATGTTAGACAATCTGATCTGGTAGCAGTTTACTGACTATATGTACACTGCCAAATCCCTCACACAGCAATTATTGTACATTAAAAAATTGCTGTCTATATATGATTGTGTGCTTTTTATTTTGAAAGATTGACAAGTGCCAAATAAACAAGTGCTATCAACTCAATCGTCGTCACGATCGTTACAATACATTACCTCGTACAGTAGACGCTGAGCCAAAGGCCCTATCGTTCGGGTGCCTCGGGGCAACAGAAATGAGACCCGTCCCAGACGACCTGAGGAGTCAGGATGGTTCGAAAAGTAGCAGCAGGTCAAACATGTATTTTAGCCCTAAGCTATTTAACGCTTTATAAACAGACAACAGGATTTTAAAGTAAATTATTTGTAAAGGAAAAGGAAGCCATATTGTTTTCCCCAAGACCATCACGAATTAAAAAAGTAACTTATTTTCCTCTGTAGTATTCGCTCCATAGGCTGACCCTAGAATATTGTTTTTATACTTTTATATATTCACCACTGTAGTCGTGCACAGGCAGACGCCTACTGGTGCTCAAGCTGCCCTTTTGCCCTGGTTGAGAAAAGTGCCCCTTCTGCTGGAGCCCAATGGTTTCTTCATTCATCAGTAATAAAGAAAAAAAAATACTCTCTCTCATGAATTCCCCCGAAAGGTGTTTTGATATTTGACGGGGCATTTATTTGAGTTCTTGTGAGAATTTCGCCCCAGCATGCTCTGCGGCGCTCACAAACCCCGCCCCTCGCCTCCCTTCTTCTCCTCCACTCAGTGCGCGTGCAGTGCTGAGCGCCAAACGGCTGCAGCATCGGACAAACGGGTGATGACGGTGTCTGTGTGACCCCCGCAACGTAGTTTGGTGATAAGTTAACCACATTAGCGCCGCTGAAAACATTGGGTCGCAACTGGTCCAACGTTTCTTAAAAAATAAACAAACAAGCTCACAAAATCTGTGATTTCGAAGCCTTGTCCAGCTGTTTACTGACGTTTGTCATGTTTAATGAAGAGATAGAGGCAGAGAGGTGCAGACTGACAGGCCGAGAATTTAAAGGCAGTTTTACTCTTCTACAAATTAGAAAAGTTCACCAGTTTTGGTTAATTTAACTCAATTATTGTAATGGAACATAGGTCCTACGTTACATGCCAGTCTGGTGAGGTATATTGTGGTATATTATTAGTGTAATGCTGCGTATGCTTCAACTCTCTCAGAAAACGGTACAATAATGATTTATTGCATCTACAAAATGTTCAGCAAAATGCCAAGAAAAAAGAGAATATCCTGTGTTTTTTATTTATTGTATCATTAATTTCATGAATACTATTGGCGATGGTGTTTGATGCTTTTGTTTTGGTGTGAGCACCTGCCCCCCAAAATGTCTGTGCACGTGTCTGACTGTAGTCACAATTCAAGATGTTGCTGATGTTGCAAGAGATTTCCAACTCTGCAGCCTCTTTGCAGGCGGGTACGCGCTGAACTCTGCACACGGAGTTGAATGCAGCAGCCCGGCCGTAGAGGGCAGCACTGAGCGACCACCGCGCTCACGCGCCCAGAACTAACGCCCGCGAAGAAGAAGCGCATGGAGCACTTTCCCACCGCGGAAATGGCGCTGTGCGTTGCCGAAGCCTGAAGGGAGCGACTTGTGCTCGTCAGTCGATCGAAGCGTATGAGTTGTGCTTTGAAAACGAGGAGCGGATTATGAAAGAGGAGACAAGCAATCGGGAGATTCGCCAAGAAAAACAAAGCATCTGTGGCTGCGATAAAGCTGCCAACGTCCTCGGACAGGTGACTTAACGTCCGTGGCAGCTAGCGGCACATTGCTTCACGTTCACACGCGTAGCTGCGAGCGATCCAACCGGGCTAGCTCACCGAACCCGCCGACGTGGGCTGAATTTCCTCCTACGGTTTTACAGTAAAAGTTGACTTCGTCGCTGACGAAGACCAGCTGTATCTGTTGCCAGTGGCTACAAGCTAGCTGAGTGAGTTGTGCATCGCTAGCTTACGATACGCTACAGTAACGTTACGCAGGTTCCCAGCTAAAGCTAAAGCCGGACCACCGGACCCTCTGTGACTCAGCTAAGCTATTAACTGTTAAACTCCCACCTTGAAGCGCCGTGAAAGCTAATACGATGAATAATCTTTCTCTAGGGAGTCAGCCCGTAAGAACTATCGTACACACTGCTTCGCTAACATCAACGCGAGCAATCGGTACAACGCGAAAGTAGCAACGTTGCCGTCTTCAGTACCAGCTAGCCGCCCGACTAGCGTTGGGGTTCAACGTGTGTGTAGTAGCTAATGTCCAACGAGTTACCAGCAGTCTCAAAGTGAAGTACCCACTGACACGTCTGCACATGGCCAGGCGAACTACATTTAAACGGTTCTCGGATAAACTTGAATCCTCCTGCATGACATTGCAGGCTAAACTGGTAGCTTGCTAATTAACTGGATACGGTGTTCTCGTTAATGCAGCTACCAGACCGTATTCGGCACTAAATATCACAAAAACATGTGCAGTGTGGTGTTACTGTGTCCCTGTGTTTGACAGCGCCGCGCGTTATGTTTTGAAAAGAAAGCGGTCGTTGGTTTGTTTACATCACGTCATGCAGCGGTTGATGAAGCTAATCGGTTACGCTCTGAACATGCTAACCCGCCTTAAACGAGTCAGTTGACTCAAGTTCATCCACCCACAACGTCCAATCATTGCCGGATACATTTGTAAATGACATCCGTAAGTGGCATTAAGTGCGCGAGAGTTTCACATTTTAGCGATGGTCCCAATGCTCCTACTGACACGTTAACGCCTCAGTTCCATTGGCTGGGAACCAGATTTGCGGTTTTAACAATCGTATGTGTTGTTCAACCGTCGCATCCGTCATCAGTCTTTTAACATCGCGGCCACGCTTTCACGGGTGCATTCGTGCGCCTGTCCGGTTAGTGGGTCGTCTGGGATAGATGGTGTCGCTGCGTGTTACCACGTCATGTGGCTGCTGCGTGGTGGCAGGCTCGTTGCGCGGGATTTCGCTTGAATCCTCGGTGCGTTTCTGCCGCGCGGTCGCAGGGGGCGCTGTTGAGTCCACCACGGCTCCCGCTGACGCACTGACGTGCACGTCTCCATTCACGTCGAGTTGGCCTTGAAAAGCTTGGCTGCACACTTTTTGTTAGTCTCAAAGTGTGAAAATAGCGAATCTGTAATAGTTTTGTTTTATTCATCCCTAGAATGTTGACACAACTCTGTTTCCTACAGGAAACAAAAAGGGATTAAAGGCTGATAGATGTACTACATGAAAAACGGATGAGCATTATTAGATTGTCTTGGATGGGTTTGTATAGGCCACTGGCATTCCTTTAAAAAATAACTTCAGAAGTCCCATCTCCAAACACACGTATGGCAGTGGTTCGTGGGCTGGTTGATTAGAAAGATTCCCAGTTACAGGAACAGCTGTCCGGCAGGTTGCTGACTGCATGTTTCCTGACAACTGGGGCTGCGGCTGTGTTTTGGAAGAATGACCTCTTTTGTGCTGTAAAACCCCGTCGGGCAGATAAAGCCTAAAGTGGATTTACGGCGTAGGGAGTCTTTGTACTTCTAGACGAACATGTCTGCGGCTGGGTGATCGTAACATGCTGTATATCCTGTGTTGTTGTTTATACAGTGAACAATGCAAGACCTGACTGCCCAAGTCACCAGCAGCCTGCTGCCTTTCCCACAAGTGACTAAAGATGCTCTGGGGGAGGATGAGATCACACTAGACTCTGTGCTTCATGGGAAGTTGACTGTTGGTAAGTCTTGCTGATTGATCATGTGAGTTCATATATTCTTCTCGTCACCCCTAGTTGCATTGACAAATAGGTTAACAGGTTAAACAGTGTAGTTTCAAAACGTATGTGATAAATGGTGTTGGCCAATTAAATATACACAAATACATTACATTGTTTCACTCTGAACTGCTGTAAAGTTGCACTGGGATAAATCGAGTACTTTCTATCCATGTATTACACTTAACTAGTAAACCAATTGATTCCACAGCCAACAAAACAAGTCACTGCAGAATCACAAGTTGAAACAAAACTCAAATTTGGGATTAGTGATACTTTCATTTAAGTTTTATCTAAAGAAAAGCTGTTTTTCAACTGGCTGCAGGTTGCAAGTTAACTCATGAGCAGTTTACTTATTAAAAATGGGGCCCACCATGGGGATAGTCCTGGATCATTTCCCTCTAACCTTTCATTTGCTTGTGTGTCTTGTGTGTGTGTGTGAAGGCCGCAGTGGGCTGGCCTGGCTGGCCTGTGGTCCCCACTTGGAGGTTGTCCACGCAGTGACGGGAGAACGCCTGTCTGCGTACTGCTTCAGTGGCGGAGGCGAGCACCCACCCTGCGTACGGGCAGCCAGGGACTTCAGCTGGCTCAAACGGTGAGAGCTGTCACAGACTCATTTTGTCTTTATCAGTCGAGGATGTGGATGGTAATCAGTCAAAATGAACTATTCAAACCTGCAAATGAGTGATCAACAACTGTCAGCTATTAGTCGCTACAGTTTCATTACAAAAACAGATTTTTGGATGTTAATGACTATGTTTAGGAAATGTCAAAAGTTCACTTCTTTACTGTTTTCTTTGGCTAGGTCTGGATTACTGGTCGGATTGGAGGAAACGGAGGGCAGTGTACTTTGCCTCTATGACTTGGGGCTGTCACGGGTGGTTAAAGCTGTGGTCATACCGGGCCGGGTGAGTTCTCCTCTACGCTTTAGTTACATTTCACATCCCAGGTTTCACGCAACCATTCTGGCATCAGTTGAGTCATCGGAGTATTCAAAGTAATTGAGCAGTTTTTAATGAAATCAGACATATTTTAGAAAGGATTGACAAATTATAATTTTGTATTTACAAAAAACGACATATCCATCAAAACATTTCTTAATGTGCTGTCCTTTCTTCGTTCCACTTTAGATTACAGCCATTGAGCCAGTGGTGAGTTATGGCGGAGCGAGCACCTCCACCCAGCATCTACACCAGAGTCTCCGCTGGTTCTTTGGCATCGCTGCCGTAATAACGGATCTGGGTCACGTTCTGCTTGTGGACCTCTGTCTGGATGACTTGTCCTGCGCCCAAAGTGAACTGGAGTCTTCAGGTAATTAGATGGCGATGTCAAAGCGTCTGCTTTATTTGTGTAGCCTTTTTTTTGTGCATTTGGTTTATCTTTTTTGTACTATATAAATGAAGAGAAAACCACTATTTGATTTCATTTTATACTGATACTGATATATCTATAGGTCTTTTTTGGTCTGTATTTAACTTGCTGTGTGTTTTTCCTGGCATAATGGTTTGTTTCTCTTTCTAAAACTTTCTCCCTGATTTCCTGATTGTTCCCAGACCTGCAGGTAGTGACCAAATCTCCTGCAGAGATCCCCCGACTAAGAGAAGTCAGCACCAGGCAGGGCCGCCATCTTTGTCTCCAGCTCAATGGCCCCAGTGGAGTTGGAGCCACAGCTCTGCAGTATATCTCCCGCACCAACCAGCTGGCAGTGGGTTTTTCAGATGGAAACTTACAGCTGTGGAACATGAAAACTCTGAAGAAGGAGTGAGTTTTTATTTTATTTTTTTAAATACCACTGATGGCTACTTTTTAAATACAAAACAGAAATATCTAATGCATTTTGGTTTTGTCTTTCACGTAAAGATATCACTCTCAGCTGGAGGGTGGCAGGGTGCCTGTGCATGCCTTCACCTTCCAGGAGCCAGAGAATGACCCCAGGAACTGTTGCTACCTCTGGGCCGTGCAGTCTTCTCAGGACCTGTGAGTTTGACCCGAGTTTGAAACTCAGTTTTCACCATGTACTTTCTCTTGGATATTAATAAGCAAAGTTTCGGTTTGTGGAAAAGAGTTTGGTTAAGACCGCTAGGGGTTGGTTGCTTTTCAAAGGTTATTAGGTTATTTAGTTATTAGTATTATAAAAAATGTCAATGGGATTTTTTGTGTAAGCTTACTTAGTATTGGAACAGGACCTGAGAGTTGTTCTTACATTTTGGCTGCCTGTCAGCATGCGACTCAGTAAATTGACATTATTTGTATTTCCAAGCACTCTGTTTTTGCCAACTTCTTATTTTCCCTCTGCCTCCTCTCACTCCCACACAGTGAGGGAGATATCGTCAGCCTCCGCCTGCTTCAGATGGCCTTCAGTGAAAGGAAATGTCTAACCTCTGGCAAGATCCTCTATGAGGTTTGTAGGGATCAAAAAAGAAAAAGACACCACATATTATACAAACATTCTCTCTGTATTCACCTCACCTTGTGAAACCTTCACTCGGCTCGTTCTGTGCCAGTCTCTGCAAATCTACTTTGAATGACCTTCTTTGTTTACTCTCCTCCCTTTTTAACTGCTGGTCTTTTAGGGTCTGGAGTACTGCGAGGAGCGCTACAGTCAGGAGTTGAGTGGCACAGCCTTCCCCCTCAGGGCCCACGCAACCAACACCCGCCTGCTGAGCTGCCGCACCATCGAGAAGTTCCGACCCCACCCTGACCGGGATGACAGCATGAACGAAGGTTAGCCTGCTTCCCCCGAAACGACCTAAGGAAGATACGAGTGTGCAGCGAGCTGATTGGTGATAGTTTAAAGCATCAGAGAGGGCAATCAGAGTTGAATGGTTAGTGATTTGACTTTGCCCGTATGGTCAAAGTAGAGAAACATCATTTTTAAATGGTTATACCATTGTGATTGCATTAAAACGGTTTCTGTTACCGCCATCTGCTGCGTGTTGGAGAAAAGTTTCTGCTTTTTCCCTCCTTTTTTGCATACTGTATCTACTGAGCTTTTATTTTCTTAATCACTTCAGCAATCCTTCCCTCTTCTCTCTCATTCCCTCAACACCTTTTCTTCAGTTGCATCCCCGGACACTAGTGTGTCCATCTTCAGCTGGCAGGTCAAGGCCTATGGTCAGGGAACCCCTTCTACCTACATCGGGGTTTTTGACATCAACCGTTGGTACCACGCTCAGATGCCGGATTCTTTGAGGTAACATGGAGACCGATTTTTCATAATTTCACTTTCATCAGTTACTTGGATTTACTGTGACACTGTTTTTCCACCGCTTTTGTTCTCGCCAGAAGGGGAGAGTCTCTGCAAAATTGTCCCTACCTGGCAGTTTGGTCTCTGGATCCGGTGGTGCAGATGGTGTCACAACATGTCCTCCTGGATGTCGTGGTGCACGACCGCAGCCTGAGCAGGGGTCTGCCCTTCACCTGCCCCCCTCCAGAGCAGTACTTTAACCCCACCACGTATAACTTTGGTAGGTGAAGACAATAAATGTACCACAATACATTGCGTAGTTTGGAGAGAGTAAAAATCTAGTATTGAAAATGTCTTCCAGCTCCATTTTTCCAGTCACTATCACTGTGTATTTATGTAGCCCGTTGGTATTAATCAGGAATTTGCTTCTGCTTAGGTTCGTTGTTGAAATTATATTTTTACTAATAAGGGAAACTATTTTTTCCCTCCCGTGTTACAGATGCTACGTGCCTGCTCAACTCTGGAATTGTTCACCTGACCTGCTCTGGCTTTCAGAAAGAGGCAAGCCTCTTGTGTTACTCTCGCTATGGATGCAAATATTCATCTCACCCTTCATTTTTTTCAAATTCAATCAAAATTACGAGAGGAGAATGTCTTAATGTATTAGGGATTAAAAAACAGAATTAAAAAACCACATAGCCTTTCTAAAACACATAAGCTGAACGTTAGGATTTTGTGCTGAGCAAACTGGAAAGGGGGCAGAAAAACAATGAATACAACCTAAACAGGTATTGTTGAACTGTCCCACTACTAGTATTTCCATCATTTTAAAGGTAGGAGTTGAAATGTTTGTATTTTAGTTTACAATCTTTGTTTTCTCCATTAAAAAAAAATAGTATTAGATCATATAATGTTCATCACTGAGATTACACAATACGTTCTATTTAAGTAAGATATAGATATGTAAGTTTAGAAAAAAGTAGTCTTCTATTCACATCCCCCCCCATTTGCATTACCACCAGACGCTGAGCTTTTTAAAGAAGGCTGCTCCTTGTTCCAGTGACATCATCTCCACTAGCTACTCTCGCTGCCTCATGTCCGGCCTCCTCTCATCCCGCCTGGCTGACACTCAGGCTTCCAGCCTCTCCCAGGTGTGCGCGCGCACACACACACACACACTCTGAATTGAACTGACATCCTGGTCAATTGTGACAATTGTGATACATACATTGTTAACTGGATGTTGACTCTTAGGAGGAGCAGCTGGATGCCATCTTGTCAACAGCGGTGGAGACCAGCTCCTTGGGAATGATCACTGGCTGTATCAAGCAGTGGACTGCAGAAGGTGAGTCATTTAACTGTCAAATAGTTTCTTAATTTGCTCATTAGAAACCGTGCTCAGGTTTCTCTATCGCTGGCTTTATCTCACTCATAGAAACTCACCATCTTAAATCTACCATGTCCCTCTACATCACATGTGTTAACATACGGTCTGGCCCACCTCTGATCAAAGTGGGCAGTATCTGGCCCAAACCTGAAATGAGTTTGACACCCCTGTTCTACATAACGCAGTCGGCTCTAATGCTTGTAAATCTGTCCTTCTTAAACAGAACAACCAGGATCCGCACTGAACCTGCGCTACATTCTCGATTGGGCCTGGAACAAAGTGGTTCAGACCAAGGAGGAACTTGATGGCATCTGTATGTGTTTAAATGTCATTTTTAATCAAAGGATCTTCTGAATTATACAAAATGTTTAGACTGGAAAGAAAAAAAACAATTTGGAAGCTTTCACAGTACTAAAATTGATCAATCAAAGATGAACTTATTAGGTTTTACTAAATTTAAGTTGTTTTCATGAACTGTAAATCTGACCAGCCTTGTGTTATGGCTGTATAGTATTATTCAACCCTACACAAAATAAAGTATATTTGTCTTAACGTATTCATTACATGAATTCTATAAATGTCTTCCTATTTCAATGCTGTTTTACAACATATATTTATATTTGTTCTCCAGGTGCACCCTTGTTTGACAGCTCATCCAACTTCACAGACCCTCAGACCCTGCAGCTGCTGCAGCACAGCCAGAGGCTTCTCACTAACCTCAGTACCATCTTCCACTGTCTGCTCAGTGAAGCCCAGGAGCTCACACAGAAAGGTGCAACATCCTCTGTTTCCCTGGGATCTCAGTTGTGTTTAACTGTAATAAACCACTGCTTCCCTGTGTTGATGTCAATAAATGTCGTTATGGTTTGACACACGTTCGGCCATATCTTTGGTCGGAGTTATTTTTAGTTTTTGATCGGTTTTGCTTATTTTTCCTTGTGGTGTAGGCTTGGTGGGTCTGATGAACAAGAACATGGTGTCCAGTCTGATTTCCAAGTACGCTCAGGTGGTGCTCTGGTTCTGTCGTACCGGTCTACTACCTGAAAGCTCAGGTAAGGTGTTAAGACATTAACATGACCAGTAATTTGACATAAAAATTTCTCAGTGTGCCTATCTTTTAACTATTTAACAGACCATCAGATCGTTGCCTTTTTAAGAATTTGTATTTTATTTTTTCTCCTGTATTGTAAATGTTATCCCCACCAGACGATGACGCTCTCCAGATCTCTCGTCCTTTCTACACTCACTCAGTCATCAGTGACTATTATACTATACGCAGAGAGGAGCTCACTAGGCTGGCTAAGTGAGTCTTCTTCACTTCAACATACATTCTAAATTTTGATTTCTAATACTCGTTTCTCTTTGATGAAAGTTTAAGTTGATCTAATGCCGACGCCCTTCGCGGTTCTCTCAGGGGCAAATGGTGTGCGGACTGCCTGATGATTGATGGTTTGGTTGGCCAGTGTGGGGAACGCTTGACCAACCTGTGGAAGAGAGATGAGGGCGGTACTGGGAAATACCCACCACCTACATTGCACGTAAGCATGAACCTTTTTTATTATGGCATTTATTGTTTTCCCTCTAATTTGATTTTAATCGACTTTGCGTCCGTTGTGTTTTTACCGTGTGTGGCTAATTGATTTTATACCTTTTTTAATCCACAGGCCCTGTTGGACATTTATCTACTGGAAAATATTGACGAAGCTGCTAAAAATGCAATTGTATCCTTTATTATTAATGCCATGAAGTTCCAGCTCTAATATTTTCTGTAGAATGCTCTGGTGCTTATTCACTTGTTGAAAATATGTTTTGTAGTTGGATGTAAAGTTAAAGATGGAGGGGAATCGGTCACAAACAAATGTGATGACATTCTTTGTAATACTGTTGGTTTCGTTATGTAATCACAGTTAACTTTTCATTAGACTGTTGGTTATTTACCATTTATGTGTGTTTTTTAAATAACCAAATTCTTAAGCCTCCTGTATGAGCCTTGACCGGTTGTTCCAGGTGATTTACCTGTTGCTCGATGTCATGTACTCCTTCCCCAATAAGGAGGGAGCATCGGTGGAGTCTTTCCCCCCAGCCTTTGCAATCCCTATTGGACTTGTTAAACTAGTGCAAGGCCTCTGGCTACTGGACCACCGTGACCACCAGGTACACACCCGTCATGTGAATTTGGATTTATTGTATTTAAAGGAGAATTCGGTTTTAGCGTAACTACATTAGTATGAACATGAAGGACACCTACTACTACATCTGCTAACAGTTTCTACTCTTGTCTTTATCAGAGTTCATTTGAGTTGCTCCTGCATCCAGCTGCCTCTCATTGTCAGTTTGAGTGGCAGCACGAGCGTGTCCTACAAGCGCTGATGTGCCAGAGCCAACACTCAGTAGCACTAAGATACTTCCACGTTACAAAGCCCCCAATTTCCTCCACCTCCCGGGCCAAGCTCTGTTTGTCTGTACTACTACACAACAGGTAAAAGACACGGGTTCTGCAATAAAACGTGAAAGCTGCTTCTCTTACAAGCATGATGGAAATTCAGCCGCTTGTTGACTAGTCTATCTTCGCTTTATTAACACAGTGCGTCCTCCTTCCAGGTGTCTCGTAGAAGCGTGGTCCCTACTGCGGCAGCACTCGAATCGCCTCAACATGGAAGAGCTGCTGGGCTTCATGTACGAGAGCTGCCAGGAGCTGGGCCTCATTAAGGAGCTGCTCAAACTGCCCCTGGGCCTCACCGAGCAGGTAGCAGAGAGATGCCTCAACTTACAAGCCAACCCTTCATTATTCCTGAATTCACCGTTCCTTGGGTTTCTGGATATAAAGTGGATGCCTAAAACTTTTGGCTGTTGGGTTTCTCTTTCAGGAGGGTTTGGAGAAGTTTCTCCAAGGTACAGGCGGTCTCCAGAACAGAGAACTACTGATGGTCCATTACCTTCAGCAGGCCAAGTACATCCCCGCCCTGCAGCTCAACCAAACCCTCAAGATGAACCTGGTGGTAAATGATGACACACGCGTGCATACTATTACGCTATCATTACGGCAATATCTTGATATACAGGATGTGACCTCTTTATCAATGTAAGATTATATAGAAAGATATTTGAATCCAATTCGATTCCCTTTCTCTTCTTTCCTAGAATGAGCGAGACCCAAAGCTTAAAGAGCGGTCCAACACCAGGAACTCTATAATGGATCTTTATGGCAAGGTATTGCCCAAAGTCCAGAGGAAACTGGCTATCGAGAGAGCAAAGCCCTACCAGCATCCCTACGCCGTCCACAGAGAAGGTGAGGAGCGGCTCTACCTGAATTCATGTCTATTGCAATAATGGCTGAAACTTACTCAATAAGCAAAAATCATGCAGGTTTATTTTGAGAGTTGAGGTTGTTGCAGGATAGCTTGAGACGCTCCCAGTGTCCACCCTCCTTTACACTCACAAAACCAATCTGTGCAGCTTTGATGCAAAGATTTCATCAATGATTTTTATTCGTCATGGTACTCAAAGAAAATGTTTGTTCCTTGCAATCATCAGTTATTTCAGTTTTAGTGTCCTGTGCACAGAAACCTTTTTTATATCAAATCTAAATAACGTATTTGCACACTTCTCCAGTCTGCCGGCCGCAGCCACTGTCAACCATCACCAAACGCTCCGCCAGCGAGAAGGTGATGTCAAGGGCCGGCTTCATCAACAACGTCCTGACCAAGATTGAGGAGGTGTGGTCGGGCAAAGGAGCTACACCACCGTCCTCCCCGGCCAAGAGGTGAGCCTGAAATAACAGAAGGGGACATTTAATGTATAATTTCTTATTTATTTGATTGTTTTCTTATATTCTGGATGTTATTTCTGCAGCTCCTGGACAGCTGATGCCCAAAGCCCCAAGCCCTCTTCCATGGTCCTTTCTGATCCATTCCTGGGAACTCCCATCACTAAGAGCTCCAAACGAAGGTCAAGGTACTGTGAGCCTGATGTTGTCCTGAGTGAAGCATACAATCCAAATATACACTTATATATTTTTTTATATTGGTGTAAAGTAAAAAAAAAAAACATAGGTGGTAAAGAAGAGATGTATCTTGGTATGTCATGAAAGTTAAACCACATGAAAAATAAAATGTTTTATGTCATGAAAATAAAAATGTATAACTGTAAAACTGTGTCTAACAGAATAATTAAAATCGTTTCAAAAATAGCACCTGCATCTTAATATTGTTTCGGTATTGGGGGCTTCGTATTGTACACACTCCTTTAATTGCAATATTCAATGGACATTTTAAAAAGCCAGATGCATTATCAGAGATTTGCTCCGACAGCCTGTAAAGTCATGGATGCTTGACATTCATTCCTTCCTTCCCTTCCATGTGAACCAGGCTGATGGACCTGGTGGTTCACCCCTCCTGTCAGACCCCTCGGCCTCTTCTCAGCCCCCCCAGACCTCCGAGCTCCTGGGTTTCTCCAAAGAGCGTCAGCAAAGCCCCCGAACTCAGTCTGCTGCAAACACCGCAGGTCGTCAAGGTGAGTAAGAACAGTCCTTTGTCAGGATATCCCAATAAGTCAAATCACCATCCATTTTCACAAATGTTCTTTGCGTGTCTATAAATGACTTTGTATTTGTGGAGGAAGTTGATCTTGTCTTACGATCTTCATGTCTTTGTCCCCTCAGCGAGCTCGGGCCTTGGCTGCTTCTGGCCCGGTGTTCACAGCCTTCACTCCTCAGTCCATCCTGCGCAGCAGCCTAAGGCCCACACCCGTCGCCACGCCGTCTGCTTCTCCAGGACGCTCCATCACCCCCCCAATCCGCAGCAAAGAGAGTCGGATCACCTTCATCGAAGAGGAATCTCCTGAACCGGAGAAAGGCATCCGATGGACCAATGGGGTAAGACCAAACACTGGATTAGAAGCTGCTCACAAAGCAAACAAAAACTCACTAGTTTGTGCTTATTGTCAATGTATCTCCTTTTTCTTAAGCTGTTAGGTTTTGTTTTCATAATATTTATTTTGCAAACCTCCTTGCAATGGTTTTCTTCTCCAGATGGCAGCAGAAAGTGAGATTAGCCTGCTGACCAGGGGCTCCATGCGATCCAAGACTTCGCACAAGACCTGGTCCTCGCAGCCTGCCGAGCAGGAGGAAGGGGAACAGCCTTGTGTAAAGCTCTCGCCTCGAGTGGGGTGTATCCGCTTCCCACAGCTGAAAAGCACCGAGAGCAAGTCGCCCTCCATCCGTGAAGCCCCTGCAGGGACGAGGCTGTCCGATGCAACTCCAGCACAACTCAGCCTGAGCTTTGACACCAGCGAGTTATCCGTTCGTTCGACGGACACCACTTTAGAATTTTATGACGCTCCTCTTCCCGATACCTCGGAGGCCCAGGACGTGAAAGAGGGCCATTCAGCGGCAGAGATGGAAGATCAGGTGGTCACGGTGAACATCCAAGGCCTAGCTGAAAATCAAGAACCAACTGAAAGTACCTCAGCCGCCACTGAGCAAACCCCTCTCCTCCTACTGACATCTGAGGATATAGAGAGGGGGGAAGAGGAGGGGGAGGAGGATGACACCATCGAGGACGTGTTTGAGATTGGTCTTGAAGAGCAGACTGAAGAGCCAGATGAGCTTGAGTCAATTGAAGATGCTGCAACTTTCCCCCAGCCGGAGATTTCTATTCCCCATCAAGGTAATTCATTTTCAGAATATCCTCCTGAATGTTGTTACTTTGGTAATGCGTCACACCATTACTGCCCAGCAACAAAATGACTCACTGTCTGTGTTCAGTTGAATTAATAATATTTAATATTATTACTGATTAATATACTGTTTGATATATTTTGCACGCTACTAGTTTGTAACCAGGTAACTGAGAGCACAGACTCTCAGACGGGCCCTGAGGTCCAAACCCCGGATTTCCAAGTGGCGCAGGATGTCCAAACAGAAGCCAGTGAATCCACAAAGTTCACGGAGTATCTGGAAATATCTGCAGCGCCTGAACCCACAGATGAACTGGAAGAGGATCTGGAGCAGTCAACAGGTCCATTTTTTTAATGACTCATTCATACTGTAAAAAGTTACAACACATTACCCCGTTATATCAGACAAGTGGTTCATACAAACAACATGAGGAGCCACGTGGCTTTACTGAAACTCTAAACTGTATAGGTTGAAACATATCTCATTACTTTTTAAGCAAAATGTTTGACCAAGTTTACAATGACTAAGATGTTATGACTCTGTCCAACAGATCTGACAGAGTTTGTGCAGAGACATCTGTTTGGCAACGATCTCTCACTAATCCGCTCAGGGATCCACAACACATCCCAGACCCAAGCGTCCTTCAACAAGTCGGTATCCATCTGTCTTACACACATGTGGCCATTTATGTGTGTCTGCGTGCGGTTTTTAAAATTGATGGTGATGGGTTAGAATTAAGTTTGTGTCAACTGTCGGTCAAAATGAATACAAGTATGCCTCGGATGCTAAGCTGGATCCAGTGATACCGACCATGCTAAACTGGTGGGCGGTTTTCCCTCATCGCCAAATATTTTGACAATATTTTTAAGGACCGTCAAAGTGTAGAGATGAATATGACAAAAATGATACGACCAGCATAAAAAGGGAACGTCCTATAGGGGGAAATGGGACACACCCGAAGTGCGTTAAGGGCTGCAACTGTTTTTGTTTTTTTGTTTTTTTTGATGAATTGGATAAAAAAAATATTTTTTGTCTTTATTCAAAAACGGAACTGAAAATCTTCAGAAAGCGCACCGATGTACGCTTTCTTCCAATAAAGTGTACAAAATGATGTATATTTTTGTTTAAAGGGAACTGGGCTGTCAGTACAATGAAGAATTTATGAGAACTCGGAAAACAGGATTTGTTTGAACGTCAGAACTTGTACTAGCCCGCATTTTAAAAGATATTGTTCTTTCTTCCAGTGAGTCGCAAGGTGAGGTTGAAGAGGAGGTGCAGGCCGGTGTTGAAGCTCCCACGGTGTCCACCAACCCGATATCTACTGCCTCTGTGACATCCTCTGAGCCAACCAGCACAGACTCCCACTGTAAGTAGAATTGTACACACGTCAACACTGGTGCTCTGACTTAAGTTACAAACCTTATTTACTTGTTTTCTCACACACCTGCACTCTACTGCTCTCTTCTCTCATAGCGGTTGTGAGTGTAAACGACAGCGAAGAGCTTTCTAGCCTTGTGTCGGAGGAGGAAGAGGATGAGGAGTCTGATCAAGCTGAAGAGGAGGAGGAGGATGAAGATGAGGAGCAGGAAGACTCTGGTAGTGAGGTGGAGATCATTGAAGAGGTCCAGGGTAATGGGAGACTGCCACCCCTCCAGCCCGGTTCAGCCTTTGATCAGGGACACACCCACTTTCTGCCAAGTCTATCAGAGCAGGAGGCTGCAGAGTTCTCTCTGATACCACCTGGGGTAGAGATGAAGGTAACGCATGTTGAGCTTAATCGAGTGGTTGAAGATGTGACGAATCGATCAAGAAATATAATGTCCTGCGTCTTGGCTCCATTACAGATGGTGGAGGAGGACATGGGCCAGGTGGTGATGGTGAGACTCGGGGCGGATGAAGAAGGGATAGAGGCAGGTGACGATGAAGAGCAAGGATCATCATACTTGGAGCTGAAGCCCTCGACTACTCTACTCGTACCCCTTGAGCTCGTGGAGGGACAGGCTGGTCTTCTTGATAGTTCTCAGCTGGGTCCTCCTGAGCTTCAGCAAGCCATTGTGCCAGATGACCCCAGGTCCGAAACTCCCAGCGGCTTTTCTCTGATGCTGGACATAGACGAGGGCCCGGATGAAGAGACGGACACGCTGCCTATGGAAAATGATCTGTCGTCCTCCAGCCCTCCCAGCCTGTCCCCAGCAGTAGAGGCTGTGGACGACCTTGCGGACAAATCTGAGGTTAATCTTTTGATAACTGACTATCAGGATCCTCCTCCGCCTGAAGAAGTACCGGAAGAGGACCAGCGGAAAGAGACTGACACCGTGGATGGAATTGAGGTAGATGGGACGACCGAGTCAGAATTGGCAAAACTTGCTGACGTTCAAACTGAAAACACTGAAGCAAACCATGAAGCAGAAGATGCTAAAGAACTGAGTGATGCAGAGTTTCTAACGTTGGTTGAAGTCCATCAACCTGCAGGTCTCTCAGTCTCTGGCTCCACTCCACTGGGAGAAGTCCCAGCAGTGATGTTGGCTGAAGATCAAGAACCTGAAGGTCTGTCACTGTCTGGACCAAGTCCTTTGGGAGAAGTCCCAGCAGTAATGTTGGCTGAAGATGAAGACCATGAAGGTCTCTCACTCTCTGAACAAAGTCCAATCGGAGAAGTCTCTGCAGTATTGTTGGCTATCGATCGTGAACCTGAATGTCTTTTGGTCTCTGGACCAAAACCAGAAGGAGAACTTCCAACTGAAGATCGTGAACCTGAAGGTCTGTCACTGTCTGCACCAAGTCCAGTGGGAGAACTCCCGGCAGAAGTGTTGGCTGAAGACCATGAACCTGAAGGTGTCTCACTCTCTCAACCAAGTCCAGTTGGAGAAGTCCCTGGATTATTGTTGGCTGACGATCAAGAACCTGAAGTTCTTTTGGTCTCTGGACCCAGTCCGACGAGAGAACCCCATGCAGTGGTGGATGAAAAAGATACTGCTGAGGAGGAGGACAAACCACCACCACCACCCACTGTGGACCAGGAAGAACCTGAAGAGAATAGGAATGTTGATGTGGACACGGATAAAGTCCCCAGCATAGAAGCAGCCGCTGTCGTGGAGGACAATCAGCAGGGCAACAAAGCGGATGTTGGGGAAGAAATTAAGATGGAGAATAAAACAAGAAGAACCACCAGGGGAAGACCGAGAAAAGATAGCCAGACGGAGGGACAGCTTGTACCGGAGACGCCCACGTCTCAGAGGAAAAAGAAAGCCCCTCCCACCCCAACACGGAGGACCACGAGAGGGCGGACCGTCACATTTGTCTCTCCCCTCGCGGAGGAGTCCGAGGAGGATGGGACCAATGAGGAGGTAGGAACGAGCGCTCTGGTATTTGCATCTCCTAGTCGTACGCCCAGAAAGCGTAAACAGAACAAAGAGACTAACGTCCAAGCGAGCCCAACTCGAAGAAGTACCCGCAACGCTCGGCTAGAACTTCCACGTGACCATATCGAGGAGGATGACGCCATGGATAATGACGCTGCAGCTGCACCAACCTCCAAGGCCTCCTCTCCAGCCAGACGACAGGTTTCCCAGAGGGCCTCTGCCAAGACCAGTCAAAGGACCCAGAGTGAAGATGACGAGGAACAAGAGGGCGAGGTCAAAGATACAAAAGCCTCTCGACGAACGAGCTCCAAGACTCCCACGCCGGCCAAACGCAGGACCACTCAGGGAAACACTCCCAGGAGGTCCAACAGGAGATCATTGAGTACCAGCGGGGCGAAGCCAACACCATTAGAGATGGCAGAAGAGGGGGAGGAACAGGGGGAGGTCTTTGCTTCCCCTGTCAAACTAGACTCCAAGAAAAGCCGTACAGAACCGTCCGAGGCGCAGCCATCCGTGCTAGAGGAGGAGGAGGTGGAGGAAAGGAAAAAACCCGCCAGCCCCGGCAGGGCGACTCGACAGTCCAACCGGATTACCCTCAATGTTTATCCACAAGTAAGTCCTCCATCGCTTTCATTCTTATTCTTTTGATGCCACCAGTTTTTGTAGCTGTTATTCAATCGCTCATACGGACACTTGGGCTAGGCTAGGCTAACCCAAGCCAACACGTGTTAAGCCATTTGTGTTTGATGTTCAACTGACTTTTTCTAGTTTGTTTTTGTCTTGTTTTACATTATTTCACATTTCATGTCGACAAAGCCACTCCATCCTGTGTTGATCATTAATGGTATTTCACGCTCCCAGGTGAAACTGGTGCCTGTATTACTTCCTCAGAGTGCCAGGAAGACACAAGGAAAGACTACAGTAGAAAATATTGAAGAAAGTGGCGTTTTACTTCAACCCGAACTCCACAGCAGCAACTCCCGTCGACCAACTCGAAGCAAACTGTGGGAACACCCGGAGGAAGAGCATCCCTTACTGGATTCCCCATTGGAGGTGGATTCTGAAACCCCGGTCGCTGACGCCCTCATCAAGCGACTGCAGGACGAGGAAGAGAAAGAGGAAGGTATGGACGAAATTCCAGAAGGAAAACTGCTTTGTACTTTTCTTTTTCTGCAGATCGGGTTTGATGTTTATCATAGAATAAAGCATCTTTGATTTAAGGACGTAGAAGTGTACACTCTTTTGTTACGCAATTACAGGAGGAATAGTCGTCACAAAGACGCTAAGAACCAGCAAGAGGAGTACGAAGTCATCTGCGGGGGAGGTTCACGCGCTGCTTCCCCTGAAGGACGGCGTCGACCCCGAACCCGAAGAGTCGAGCCCTGGCGAGCATTCGTTCATCTACTCCCCCTCGCGCAGGAAAACACGAGGTGAGCTTTTCATCCATTTATGTCGAGTCGTCCGGCTGTCATGATTTTGACTCTTTGCTGTCCTTGCTCCGAAATGGTGGAACGAGCTCTCTGAAGACACCAGGACCGCAGAGAGCCTTCACATCTTCCGCCGCAAACTAAAGACACACCTCTTCAGACTCTATCTCGACTAAAAGACTAACAAATTGTAGCACTTAAATTGTACTTATAACGCCACTCATCTATAGCAAATTGTAAATTGGCTTATTTGAGGAAAAAGCACTTTCTTGTTCTTCTGAGTTTGTACCCTATGTTTGAATGCACTTATTGTACGTCGCTTTGGACAAAAGCGTCAGCTAAATGACATGTAATGTAATGATTTTAACCCTTTTGTTGTGTCTTTTGTGCCAGCTAACAGAGCAGAATCTCCCTGCCCGAGTGACGAGTCCACAGCACGGGTGACCCGCAGCAGGAGAAGAGTCTGCAGAGATGATTCTGAAGCTCCTCGTGTAAGTGCCTCTGCTGCTGAAATCTTCAGTTCCTCAAATCTGTAATTCTATGAGCCCATTTTAAGAAGTTTTTCATAATGTTCTATCATTGTTTCTCAAAAATGAAATAAAAAAACAACCCCACTTCCTGCTCCCCCACAAATGTCCAAGAGAAAAAAAGTTTTTTTTGAGAAGCTGTATTATTTATTAAAATTTTTCAGCAGGAAATTGCTTCAGAAGAGGATCTGGTGGACGAGGAGAAAGCACCAGGTGTTTCTAAGACCAGCAAAGCAGGCAAAAGAGCAGCAAAGTAAGATCCTGTCATCCCCAGAGACCCCCCTGTATCTGTAGACCCTGAAGTAACTGCTTGCTTTGGACAGTTTGCGCTCTTAATTAGCTGTGTTGATTTGGGCCAAAGAGAATCTCTCCCTGCTCAGTTTTTTTCTCTCTTCACCTTCAGATCCAAAGCGGTTCTGGAGCCGCCTCCCGTAGCAGAGGTGGACCTGATCTCGCCTCTGCCCAGCCCGGCCGAGCCCGTCCCGCGGGCGCTGAAGAGGATTCTGGAGGGAGAGGCCCCGACCTCGAGCATGAACCTTCGACGCAAACGCATAATGGACACCGTTTTAAAAAAGCCTGTCACACGAAGGAAGAAACTTTAAGGAGGTTTGTGGTGGTTTCAACCAGTGAACCTCAGACGGCCACCACACAATTGGAAGCAACTCGGTCGGGAGCTGTCGAATAAAAGTGTATGCGTAAACTCAAGATGGTTCTATTCCCTCAAAGCCCTCACATTGCTGTGATTCTTTGTATTTACCTGCAGGACATTAAAAATAGCAATGTAGGCGTAAAAATCTATTTTTTAGAGCAAAACTTGTGGATCGCAGTGTGAGCGAGCATTTATTTTTGGAGTACAGATCCCGCTCGTACTAACTGGATTTCACTTGATAAAGTATCTGTAGCCATTCGGTTACGCTCCTCGTAATCCACTTAATTTTCTGGACAACAAAAGTAATCGTTTGCTTTTAGAAGCTGCCATAAATAAAACCAGAGAGACTGAACAGAACCTTCCTCTAATAAGAGGTTTTATTGACATTGTCTTTTAATTCTTTTGTTTTCGTTTGGGTTATTTTGGTCAAGTTTTACCTTTTTTAGATTTTGAGGCCCGCTGGTTTTCTATCTGAGAAAAGAAAAGCACCCAACTGAGTGAGGATGAAACCATTTTACACATACATTTGTATATAGTCTTTTGCTATGTTCCAAATAAAGTTAATAAATACATCCATAAGAATTACGCTCTTTTTGAAATTTGAAGTGTCTCGAATGTGTTTGATCATCCATTTAGATTTGCCTGTGCCGTAATCTTACAATTTCAGTCGATCTGTGTAATCTGTGAGCTAGTTGATAGTGTGACAGAAACAAAAAGACCTGCACAATGGTTTGGAGTTGTTTAAATAGTTTTGGGACATGTTAATAGGCTTTGATCCATTTAATGTCAACCACCATCTGACACAGGCTATTTTCTGATGAATGTATGTAGAATGTCTTATTTTTGATGACTGCTCTTTGATAAATATGTTAACGCTCGAATACTTTGCGCGTGGAGTGGCTGTCTCATTTCAACTTACTGCCTTTTATTGCTTGTGTTTGTTGGGTGGAGCGATGGATGCAGTGAGTGTCGTTCTTTCTGTCCTCCTGGTGCTTCAGACAGTAGATGTCCATTAAGATGTCCTCTCTGGTTTTGATATCAGGCACTCGGTGAATTGTTGACATAAATGTAGCTGTAAACACGTAACCTACCTGGATGAAATTGATCCGTCTCTTCTATAATTTATAGTGGTTGAGAAGGTGAAAGTGAAACCGGCCTCATTGCCGCAATTCCGCTCACGCAACACCAGGGTCCGGAGTAATAACAGCAAATTTACAACATCTTTTATCTCATGTTAGGTAGTGATCTTTATTTTATTTTTTTTAATTAAAAAAGATCACTAGTTCTGCTAGTTAATAGTTGAGCAGAGTTCTACAGTTAAACGTCACATCCAACCTTGAAGCAGGTGAAACCGATCCGTTTGTCCATCGTGTTTTCAGTGAAACTCGAAGCGCTTACATGGACCGAACACTCCCCGTCGCACCGACCCGATTGGGTCCATGACGACTTGTAATTTGACGCTGTCTGAGGGAGCTGATCACTCAGTCCGCGTGTCTCCTGTGCTGATACCCGCCTGCTGCACCATGAGGGCTAAAGCCTCAGACATGCACAGCAAGGACTGTGTCAAAGTGGCCGTCAGAGTCCGACCGTTCAACAAGGTCAGTGTTTTTTCAGGCACTTTTAAAGGCTGTCATCGATCTATGTTTTCCTTACGAGTTTATTGTAACGTGAGTAACGTAAATGTTTACTCTGAAGCCTGTGCTGGAAATAGTTTTGGATATGAATGGGTGCAGTTGTAGAGCTCCAATGAAAAACAATGGATCCGGTGCCGCAGCAAATATTCAACTGAAATTTCTGATTCATTCATAGAATGAATTGTTAGTATGTAGTTGTTTATCTCTGAACATCAGTCTTCCCTTCATCAAATTTGACCTCCCAACCACCTTGATCTCTCCGTTTCGCTTCATCTCTTTCCTCCATTCAGAGAGAGAGGGACGCGGGCAGCAGGTGTATTGTCTCCATGGTGATGAGCTCGATCACTATCCAGGACCCCCGTGAATCCCAGTGTCGTCGTACCTTCTCCTTCGACTACGCCTACTGGTCCCACAGCAGTTTCACGCGAGACAGCGGCGGCCTCTACGTGCCCGAAGAACCCGGCGGGCGATACGCCGACCAGGTCAGCGTCAAAGCCTCCTGGTAGAACGGGCCAACAGTTGGTGAATCATGACCAACATTGCTGACCCTGTGCAGCAAGCAGGTCATGCAGATGCACGTGGAGCGTGTTTAGAATCTAGAGCAGTATAAATATAGACTGTCAGACTAAGAATGAGTTTGAGCAGGACAATATTTGCTCACAACCTCATGAAATGTCAATCCCCAGAATAGTGTGTTCCAGGACCTGGGAGAGGGAATACTGGAGAACGCACTGCAGGTAACCATCATGTATTCGCATTTTTATCACAGCGCTGCAGATTTTGTGTGTGTGCTAGTTGCACAAATCTATTTCTCTGCCCAAATTTGGATCCGTCCTCACCGTAAAAGTCCTTAAACGGCGTGTGCAGGGTTACAACGCGACGCTGTTGGCCTATGGGCAGACCGGCTCGGGGAAGAGTTATTCCATGGTGGGCTATGGGCCCAACAAAGGCCTGGTTCCTAAACTCTGTGAGCGACTATTTCAGGCCATCAGAGAGAACCAGGACACCAGGCAGTGTCAGGTACAGTGTGTGTGGCTGTCTGTCGGCGTTCACTCAGCGTCATGTATGGGGGCTGTTTTAGTTATTTTCATAACAATCTTTTAGTTTTTTGATGTCTACACAGGTCTTTTTCAGTATGCTGGAGATCTACAATGAGCAAGTAACTACAGTTGTCTTTCTTTTGCTCTTTTACTTCTGATTTATTCTGTTTTGGTGTGAAACTCTTCTTTCTCTGGCTATTACATTCATCAGGAAGTCACTCTCTTGGCAGATCATGCTCCCTGATTCCTTGACCTCTGCATATATACATTTATATTGTCCCCGCTCTCTGTCTCAGGTGGTTGATCTGCTGTCCCGGGGGTCTCGTGCTCCAGGCGGACTCCGAGTCAGAGAGGAGCAGCAAAGGGGCTTCTACGTGGAGGCTCTTCGAACAGTGCCATGTGACAGCGCCACACAGGTAGAGAAGAGGCGCGTTCATACAGCCAGGGATCGATAAACGTCCTCATTTCTCAGGAGCTGCGTTCTGCAATCGTATAATTGAGCAATAAGATGATTTCAGGTGTAATTCAGTGTGCGTCTTGTATGTAGAAACAACATGTGACTGTTTTAAATGTAGGTGGAGCAGTTGATGGAACAGGGCACCAGGACCCGAACCACCGCTGCCACTAACATGAACGCCAATAGTAGTCGCTCGCACATGCTCATCATCCTCCAGCTCAAACAGGTAAATTCTCCACATTCTTCCCCACTACAACACGCATTCTCCAAGAGTTGGATTTGTCTGGCACGGTATCACCAGAGTTATCTATTTAGGATGTTTCCGTCTGTACCTTTTGAATATGTCCTCACGCTCTGGTGTCTTCAATCATCTTTTTTTTTTGAATGACAGCCCTGTGACTTCCTGTCAGATTTTTTCCAAAGAGAGCATCACAAAGCAGTCCAACATCAACTTGGTGGACTTGGCCGGCAGTGAACGCCAGCGGTCGTCCGGGTCGGAGGCTGATCGGCTCAAGGAGGGCACGGCCATCAACCTGAGCCTCACCACCCTGGGCAACGTCATCAGGTTGGCCTGCTGTTTAGTCGACTTCACCCGTTCAGGTTCCATTATTCACGTCCTCCTCTCTTCTCCAGCTCGCTTGCTGATGTGGCGGTGGGGAGGAAGGTTGTCCACATACCCTACAGGGACTCCGTTCTCACCAAGCTGCTGCAGTCGGCACTGGGAGGCAACAGTCGCACTGTTATGGTAACAGGAACTTTATGAAAATAGTAGTAGCGCACACCGATGTCTTATAAGCAGTGTAGTTGTTTTTCATTTCAGATCGCCACGCTGAGCCCCGCTGATATCTGCTACGAGGAGTCTCTCTCAACCCTGCGCTATGCAGAGAGGTACAACAAGCCACCGTAACAAAAAACAATAACGCCTCTACAACAGGTTGTTGTTGTCATGTCCCTTCTTCCCCCGTCTTCTTTTTCGCTTCTTGGCCTTTCCCTCTTTTCCTCTGTTCCACTCGTGCATTCTCCATCACACCTCCCTCGCCGCTGTAGGGCCAAGCGCATCCAGAACCGAGCGGTGGTGAATGAGAGCCCCACCGAGCGTCTGGTCAAAGAGCTGAAAGCCGAGAACGCCAGACTGCTGCAGCGACTGAGCCGGCTGGGGCAGGAGGGCCGCAGGGCTAACGACGAGACCAGTGAGGCCCACTTTAGGATCAAATGGAATAGATTACAACTCGGCCGACCAGGGTAAATGTGTGTGTGTGTGTGTGTGTGTGTGTGTGTGTGTGTGTGTGTGTGTGTTCAGAGGAGCTTCGTCAGCTGCTCACCCATAATGAGCTCCAGATCAGAGCCATCCAGACTCTGTGGGAACAACACCTGCAGGAGGCGCTGAAGGACTGGGAGCAGCAGTATGCTAATATCACACAGGTGCATGCGCACACATTTAAATACGCATCTCGATCTCATGCATTTTGAGATACGCTTTTAATCTTTCAAAAAAACATATGAGGACAGAATATAAAGGTGTTGTGTAAAATACATATTTTCACATGTAAGGTTCAGCTGTCCGTCTCCGTAACCCCCAGGAACGACGGATGATGCAGATGCATCCCTACATCCTGAACATCAACGAGGACGCTCAGCTGTCGGGGGTGGTCAAGCTTTTCATTGAGGAGGGTAACTCTGTCGCCTTCTTGGTGTTGTGACGAATGTCTCGTGGAACATCACAGAGCAGCTTGTCATCCCGTTATTTGCGTGTTTATTACCACTCATTGATACTGTTTATTCTTCCAGGGGAAAGGCACATCGGCCTGTGTGACTCTTCCCCAAGATCAATCTCTATCAGGGGCTTAGGGTGAGTTTGCATCACATCAAGATATGGACCTTCTGCAACGGTGTAGACATGATTTGATTAGTCTAATTACTGCTTTTGATTTGTAACCTGTTGCTCATGCAGGCTACAAACCCCGTAATCCTCGAGAAAATGCAACCTGAATGAATGAAATAATGTGCATTAGTGTGTTTTCTGCTCCTACAAACACATCCACGTGGGTTTCTGTGTGTGTGTGTGTCAGGATCCAGGAGCGTCATGCTGTGTTCAGAAATGAACAGCGACGGGTAACAGTGACCCCACTGGCGGGGTCAAAGGTCATTGTCAATGGCGACACCGTCTTCCAGACAACCGAGCTGCAGCATCTAGTGAGTGTCAACACATACACCAACGTTATGATATGACTACGTGGCATGCATATATATATACAAAACAGATTTTCAAAAGGTCCTGTATTTCATAAATATACCATATCACACGTTATATTATATTATTATATTATGGAGTTTCATTAAAAAAGTATTTGCACTGTGTCATAAAAATGTAATGTACATGTCATAGTATTGTATAACAGTGTTCCTTTTTTTCTGTTGCCCTCCAGGACCGTCTGATTCTTGGCTCCAACAGCACCTATCTGTTCATCGGTTACCCCTCTGAGAGGGGCGGGGAGGACTGGAGCCGCTACGACTACGACTACTTCCAGTCTGAACTGGCTGCTGCGGAGGGAATCCACCTGGGTAAGCCGCTGAATCCATAGCTGGAGGAAACAGATTTGTCTTCTGAAAGGGAACTTGTTAGGTTTTATGTGTGTGTGTGTGTGCGAAGGCGAGTCTGGTGCTGGGTCCAGTCACACAGACCCCAGTCTGCTCGCCGTCTTCTACGACTACGTCAAACTGATGCCCATGGTGGCCGAGGCCAACCAGATGAGCCAGGAACTGAACAAGGTAACACACACGGGTGCAGCATGTTTGTAGATTGGTGCTGATTCTGATTAATATATATATTTAACTGTTATTCAAAAATGAGTAAACCTTCACTCTCCTTGATCTGACACTGTAGGGGGTGCAGTTTAAGTTGGAGATAAAGAATCTGGCCTTGTCTGATTCAAAAGGTCATGACCTGCAGAAAGAGATTGTTGTCAGAGTCACCTCTTTGGGAAGCAAACAGGTTTGTGTATCTCTGTCTTTCTCTGTAAGGTTTTATTGCCGCTCTCTTTTTAACGCTAATGTCCATCGGGAGCTTATGTCATGTTTTTCTTTTTCTAAACTATTCTCACACTTCCTCCCCAGGTATGGATGTGGTCCAAGGCCAAGTTTGTGAACCGTAAATTTCTGATGGAAGATGCCTACCAGCAGGGCCAGGTTGAGAATAACGGAGACAATGTAATTAAATACAGAGAACATGGTGGTGAGAGATTATATTTAAAGCATGTACCTTAAACAAAACATCCTAGTAAAAATGGCAGAAATATGGGATTATGCAGAAGGGTTTTTTGTGTATTTATAACTTAAGCGTTTCCCAGAGAGCCGTCTGAGCGGGATTTAATGTTCAGAAGGAATGCGGCTTGATGAAATTGAAGCCTGACTGTAAAATTCTAAAATACTATTCCCAGACTTGGCATTAATAGTTTAACATTTCAGAGCCATAACTCTGTATTTGTCTTTGGTTCTTGCTGTCAGAGAATAGAGGGTCTGTCTACAGCTGCTTCAGCCAGAGATAAAGACCCTTTCTGGGATCCTGTGGAGCCCGTTCTCCTGGGCACGGCTCACCTCTGGCTCCAGTCTCTGGCCTTCCGCATCCCTCTGGAAGAGCAACTCGAGGTACACCGCTATACACGAGACGCGTCTGTCAGTACTGTCAGGCGTCAAATTTGCTTTATAATCTCTGTCGCCAGGTGCTTGGGTCAGAGGGCACAGAGGAGGCTGTTCTACAAGCACAGCTGATCCCCTGCACCTCCACTGGATTGTATGACATGCACACTCACACACATGCTCACACCACATTGATATATATGAAATAATCATTTTCACCTTCCAGCCCTATGGGTGAAGATGACATTCTGATTGACCCGTCTGAGTTACTGGGTCGACGACTGGACTTCCAGCTGGTCCTGGAGCAGTGTTGTGGCCTCCGCTGGATCAGAGAGACCCGCAACAGAGGCGTCCAAATCGGGTGAGAGCGTGTGGGGCTTCATGTAGGAACGTCCAAGGCACTGGGGACAATTTGAAGTACAGGAAGGATGCAGAGAATTTGTGGATGGCACATGAATAACGAGGCACGTTAGGGTTGGACATGAAGTGTCCTGATGGAAGCAGGAATAATGAACAGGCTCTGCATTCAATGCAGCTAAAAGTGAGATACTGCTCTTTGCTTTTCTCTCCCTCTCAGTTTCAGGTTGTTTAATTGCATCCAGCCGCTCTTCTCCCCGGCTGTGTGGCACAACGTCAACCCTCTGTTGGACCACCGAGCTCACTTTGCCTCCCTGCACACCTCCCAACGCCTGTTGGACTACCTGCAGAGCAGCGCGGTGGTGCTGGAGCTCTGGGGTCTTCAGGGTGGGGATGAACAGAGAGAGATGTCTCCATTTTTTATTTATTTAAGTCAAATATTTAATAGAACAGGTGCATGTTAAATAAATATGTTGTATAGAAGTATACAATACACAGTAATCAAAGGCTTATTTTATGTATTACCAGCAGCTCAAAATGAAAGTGATCAGATATTATTCTGCTTTGATGCCTCCCTCAGACACGCAGATGAGCTAGAGTGGGATAATATCGAATTATTTCATTTTCCACACCGATGTCACACCCGTGAGACAAGTTCGAAACATTTTCTGCTGTGCATGATGTCCTTATGTCATTCAAGTGAATGGGTGTTATCTGTTCCAGAGGGTTGTACTGACCTGACATCTTCTCTGGAGGGAGTGAGGATGACTACAGAGGGAATCTTTATCATGGAGGAGGCCGGTCCAACAGACACCGCAGTGAGTTTTATTTTCAGTCTGTATTGTCACTCCAGGAATGATTTGTCACTTTGTTTCTAAAGCTGCTTAAGACACTTTATTAAAGATTCAAAACGATACATTTGCAATCAAATACATTTAGTCAAGACAGCAGATATATAAAATCATGGATCTAGATATTAGAGAATTTCCCAACGACTGGCACAGGCATGATGTCATGTTGCATCCGAAGGAGAACTCCTGAGGTAAACATTTCCGTGCTCGTATAAATCTATGCATTGTTGCAGCTCGTGGACTCGCCAGAGCTCGGCCTTTCAGCGAGAGCGCTTCAACAGGACTTGGAGCAACTGAGGAGTGTTAATGCTTCACTGAGAAAAGAAAATCAAAGTCTGAGAGAACAACTCAACGCAGCTCGGAATGGTAACAGAAACATACACAACAGAGTGTTGATTGAAATCCCATTCATAAACTAAATATCCTTGATGTGACATTTCCTTCCCCGTGTTAGGGGCAGAGGGTGTGCGCGGGCGGTCGCTGCGTCCCAGCTGTGATGCGGAGTTCGCTCGTTCCCTCAAAGTTTTCTACCACAGCATGACCTCAGTCAGGGGTCAGCTGCAGCGCCTGCGCAGACACAGGCCCAGTGTACGTATGCAATGCCTGCAGCATCGCTATTGGGGAGCATTTTACCCACCGGATTCAACATTTGAAAAACACGGAACGATCAGGCACACAGATCTACTAGTGAAAGAAAAGTTTTAGTAAGATTACAGTGAGCTGCCCGGAGTAACATTTGTTTGTGTAGCTATCTGGAAAGGTAACCAGTAGAATGCAGTGTGTGCATAGTAACATTTGTACGGTTAACTGTGGTTTTCAGGAGGAGTCCGACCTGGTGGGCCTCAGACTCTTTGTGGACGAGCAGAATCGTCTGCTGAGGGACTTCTCCGAACAGCTGGAGCAGAGCGTCTCCACACTGAAACAAGACGTCGCCGCCATTGTTCGCCGGAAACGAGAGCGATCGGGAATCTGGTCTTGACTGATTAATCTTTCACAAATTATTAAGAAGGTGAATTCTCTGGTTAACACTGCAGAGATTCTACAACAAGTATTGTGTGTGTGTAGATATTTTCTTTTCCAAGTTGCTATTTACAAAGTTTTACATATCGCTGTCCAACCAGCTCAAGAAATGTGGCACCAAACTGGACTTTTACACGTGATTGAAATTTGTAATATCCACAAGAGCCATAAAAGATGGTTACATTAGTCGGTTAGATGAGCGCGTTAAATTCCATAAGTAGCAGCAATTCCTCTTTCTCTAAAGAGGTTATTCAGCATCCTCAACCACTTCACCATCACCAGCTGTAGAGTAAATAGTACACGTTTAGTATTACCACAATAACAGATCTGAAGTCTGTAAAATGTTTATTAGACTGAATGTAAAATAAGTCATTACAGTTCCATACTGCAAATAAATTAAAAGGCAAATACAAGTTTCAAAATTCACGTTTTTTTTTTACCCTCCTTACTAACGTCCTATTTCCAAGCGAATGTGTGACATCAAGGAAAGCTGTTCTTCCTTAGATTACGGTAAACTAACAAGAATGAGATATTTAACAGCAGAAATGAAGAGTTCAATGGCGCTGTTTAAAACATCGGTCTTTGTAATGTCCAATTCAGAGGTAAATTGCGTACAGACAGTTTAGCTATAGGTCCAAAAAAAGAGGAGCATGGGCGTAGGAGGAGAGGCAGATTAGTCATCGGGTAGGACCGAGCATCTATATACAACAGATGAGGGCAGGCAACTGACAGTAGATGGTTGGTCACGAGATGCTAAAAATGTGTGGACGGAAATCTATAAATGAGGCGGACCGATGAGAGGCAGCGGTGAAAGGCCAGAGAGATTGCTATGTAGAGAGAAGGCTGAGGTTACAGGTGAGGTAGGTCAATTGGGTCTTAGGAACAAAACCATTAGAAAATATTTACAATATACAGTGCACTTTAACATTTACTCAAATTTACTATGAGTTTGAAAAATGTAGCAATTAGCAAACGCGTCTAGTTTCACTGCCAGTAGTCTGCACCTCTTTGGGCAAGTCTAAGTTCTATGTTCGGACAAAACATGCAGACCGTACAGAAGCAGTTTGGGTACATAGAGATCAGTGGTGTAAATTACATTAGAAATGAGCACCGTCACAACCTTTCTGCGTGTGAGACAGATTTCAGAATAAAAGCACTTTTTTGTTATAGTGCACTATGGTTTTTACAGCCATGAGGCTTGATTGAAGTGATGCATGTGTACTTGAATTTGGGTTACAGTTCTCTGGATATCAGCTAACTAGTATCAGTACTTGAAGTAGCAATTCTGTTTAACTTTTTGATTCAACAGAATCAAGTTAATTGTCACCTCGCTTTTGTCCAAAGCTGCCTTTGCCATCTGTAAAGCTAATGCCTCTATGCTTAAATGTTTTTCGGAGGCCAAAAGGCAGCTTGACCTAAAATAAATGTTAGTGTTTTTCTAAATGCAAACATTATTCCAACTCATTTCACCCGATCATGTCCGCATCTTTCTCTCTGAAACCGCACCTTTACATTCTGTATTATACAAATACTTCAGCTTCCTCCATCACACTTTCTCTGTTCACCACTGGAGGGGCGAATAAGTTTCAAACACTTCACTTAATGAAGCTTTCAGCAGCGGACAGACAATTTTCACAGTATAAAAATATTAATTTAACCACAGAGAGGTCCACGATTTCACATTAAGCCCATATTTATCGGTCTTGGATGCCACACAAAGTTAAACATTGTTAAGAGCTGCAGTCGAGAGCAAATAAAAAGTTGACACTCAAATAGGTCCAGACATGACCACAATTTGGGAAAATCCGTTAAGATTGTTATGAAAGCAATGTATTCATGTAAATCCGTGAAAAATCTGGATTTGGAAATCACACCAACATAAGTCGAAGTGTTGATTTCAGTGACGTGTGAAGACTTCTCCTTCCCAGTTTTTCAGTGTTTCTTGTCCAGTGCCAGCTCTGGTCAGACTCAACCAGAATGAGATGAAAGCGTCACGTGTGTCGTTTTGAGTCAAGCATTCAGGGGACTTACCACGTAAATTAAAAAAATGATGTAAACAAACTTCAGCTTTTCAGTGAACCTTTTTAACAAAGATCTGTAAAGGTCACCGACTGAACCGTGTTAGCCACACTGCTGATGAATGATTAAGGAAATAACGCCCACAATCACCACCACAGGACTCACAGGTGCATTCTCCACCTTCACAGAGAAAGAACCAAGTGGACACCAAACAACGGGCGCGTATCAGCCGAAGGGCAAGTCTTCCTTTAAAAGGCGTTGACAACATCCGTACAAAAATATCTTCTCACGCACTGGTGCCGTCCTTCTCGGAAGCTTGACTTTCACCTCCTGTTGTTCCGTGGGTGATGAGGGTTGACGGGGCCTCACATATGTTTCGCTGGCTGCCGTGCCTTGAGCCGTCTATCTGATGGAGGCTGCTGTGAGCGGAGAGCGGGTGGTCGAGACGTGGCATGCTGCCATGGAAACTGCGCTGCTCTGTGCCTCGACAAGCCACAGTATCACTCCTGAGAGAGGACAGGCAAGGTTGAGTGTTGTAGTTTCATTTAATTCACAACCTTTGACAGACGAAGAGGAAGTCACGGATTTCTTGCTCTACCTGTCGTCTCTAATGCGGCGCAGGCTGCCGTGGTAGCTGCCCTTGCTGTGGACACTGCTGGCCTTACTCCTGGTGGATGTAGGGTTGCCATGGTGAGTTGTGACTGGTTCATCAAGATCGGCCAAGTGGGTGGATGAGGCGTGGGTAGATGTGCCCTAAAGAAAGATGACAGGAACGATGGATTTATGGATAAGTGTCACCGAAGCGCTTTTTACTGTTCCCATCGACTACTACCATGTAATTTAAAAAGTAGTCAAATGGAGTAAAACCTCATAGAAAATCGTCCGAAGTCATATTACAGTCCGACATGTAAATGTAATGAAAGTCAAAGAATAGTAGGTCAAGACATTTTGTTATATATATATATAGGAATGTCTCAGTATAGTTTGTCATCAAAATATTTATTAACAACGTCAACAGATAGTATTTTTACCAGCATAGACCTTTTCTTATGAAAAGCTGACGTATGCAGGATTCACACCGATCTGGTTTTTGGTATTTAGAGCTTAAATTATGCTACAATGGCTATTCTGTTGCTTCCACAACCAGTAATACAACGATTGCTTTTGAAGCTTCATTATCACTGCTGTCGTGGCATTCCTACCTGAGTGGATGTTCCTCTGGACTTCCTAACGATGGGGGTGTTGGGTTCACGCAGCAGAGATTGGGCAAAGTCAGGCTGCTCCTGCAACACCTGGCGAGACTCGTTTACCCCACTACTGCAGAGAGGAGGGTGACGGAGGGCAGCGGTTTTAATTATGGCAGACAGTAGGAAATAAATAGCGTGTGAGTCTGTTTGTCGCTCTTCTTACTCTTTGCGTCTGCGCCCTTGCAGGAAGCTCGCCCATTCAAAACAGGTCTTCTTGCTGCCCACCCAGAACACAGAGGGGACCCCCACTACCAACATCATCAGATATTTAACGAGGAACACCACCATGGCTGGTCGTCTGGTCTGCTCCACCTAGAGAGAGCGGGAATATGATAAACATCATACGTGCATCAACACAGGCAGTCCCTGGGCAACTGTCTGAAGTACACGTCATCTCCCACCAGAGGGCAGGAGATGTGCAGCTGTGGGGGTCGGTAAGTACGGGCAAGTCTTGAAAGAAGAGTACTGCACCAGAACAGAGAGAACATCTCCGTTGTGGTGCAGTACACGGCATATCTAAAAGAGAGGTATACAACGGTTCACCCCTAAGTCAGGGTTTTTATTTTTACCCACACGCAGACACAAAAACAAACAATGGCCACAGAATTTTCAATTATCTCAAAACATGCAACTGTAGCCTCTTACAAAGACAGACATTTGCACAGAAACCCCCCCGGGGTAAAGATCATATAACACACAGCAATATTGAAATTCCAGAGGTACAATAGGACGTAAAGGGGGTCTTTCTAAAAGCTCTCACACTAACAGCTACAGACACATGGATGCACACGCAGTAACATAAGCACTTGCACCTGCCTCCCCCCGTCTCATAAAGGCTGTCAGTCACAAATTAGCTGACACATTTAAACTGCTGTAACGGCAATGATGGAAATTTTACCGCATGCGGTAAAAGCATTGACATTTTACAATTAATTTGAGATGTGGTGAGGATGCATTTGAGTGAGTTGGATTTGTTTTGCATTGTGGACATATTATTTGGATATTAATCTAGCGCCGGACTGTATGAAACTCCACACTCCCACGACTCTTCACAACTCCCACAAAGACGTTACAGAGTACACGCAGCAGAGCATGACTGACTGAGCAGGCCCTGAGAGAGAGACCGGCACTGTGTGAGAACCAGCAGAGAGACAGAGACAGAGAGGGTAGTTTGTGTGGAGTTGGTCTTGAGAGCTGTATTAGCTGAGCTAATGATGCATACTGCTCTCTGCCCTCCACAAATACCTACTCACTCAGCCACACACGTCTCTTTCCTATCAAGAGTTTGTCTGCGTTTTCTTTTTTTTTTTTGATGTCCAGCTGAGAAGACAGGCGCATCCCAAGGAGCCATCTGTTTTCACACAGCATGCAATGCGATAGCATTGATGAGCTACGCAACAAAGATATTTATCTTGTAATATCTGGGGGAATCTACAAGATAAAGAAAGTACAGAGTGACGTGGGCCGCGCTCCTTGCAAGCTATTCATCACTAAAATATCTTTAGATTACTGTTGACTGTTACCTTGTACGGGCAGGGGATGTGATAGCGCTTGCAGTTCTCCTCCATCCACGTTGTCTCCCAATTGTTCCGGTAGGTGTGTTCGTACAGGTAGCACCCGATCACGGTCAACAAGGGAACCAGGTAGAGCACAGAGAACACTGCCATTCGGATCATGAACTTGACCAATTTGGTCTGGTTCTCCTTCTCCAGAGGGATCTCCATGCGCACCCGGTTCAGAGCCACAATCCCGACTAACAGGAGAGTGACACCCACCTGAAGAGAGGAAATGAGTCAGTGGCCAAAAACACAAAATGAGTGTTTTTGTCTTTTCTTAAAAGATCTGGTAGACTCTCAAACATCCACCAAGCCATTAAGTAATCAATCAATCGTTCCATAATTCCAGTCAACAAAAACTCGTGCTTCATTTGATCCCCTCACCCATACTTTCACCCACCCATTAATGATCTGACTGTACTCACCGCCACGTTGAGGCAGAGCGGTGCCAGAACAAACCACCTCAGGGCGTCTATGTCATACAGCCCTATGAAACACACTCCACTGATCCCATCTCCTTCAATTTTGTTCAAGGCCAACAGGGTGACAGTCAGGGCCCCTGGGACCCCCCAGGCAACGGCATGGAAGAGGAGGGCTTTCTTCTCAATGGCCTCACTGCCCCATTTAGGCACAGCGGCCAGGAACCAAGTGATGGTCAGTATGACCCACCATACGCTGCCGGCCATGGTGAAGAAATATAGGACCATGAAGAACAGCGTGCATACCTGAGAGAGAGAGTAGGAACCAGAGCTTGTAATCAATAAGGGGTCAAATGTCATCAACTCCTAAAAAAGGTTAATTTATGATCAATTAAACTATATAATACAACTCTACTAACCAATCATGTGTTAAACGTGTCTTGAAATTGCTACTTAAATGTTCAATGATCAATCGTCAGAATATAACTGGCTAAATTCACAGGATCTAGCCGGTATGATGTAAATGGCTAATAAGTACATACATACGCTGCTGTAAATCCTGTAAATTCCCCCGCTGGAGGACTAATAAAGGATTATCTTACTTTATCTTATACTCCATACTGGTACGGTGTCTGATGTTATTGTGATGAGTAACCGCTCACCTTGTTGTGTGAGCCCTGTGTTATGGTTGGAGCTCTGAACTGGGAAGGGCTGACTGCATTGCACGCTACCCTGTCTTCCAACAGGAAGCCCAGAAAGAAAACCAGTGACACCATGACGTAGCACACGGCGTAGAAGATTATTGGCCGTTCAGGGTATCGGAACCTAGAAAAAAAAAGAAAATTCAAAAAGTATAAAACAATACATTTTCTTTCCCCTTACTTTTGAAATATATTTTATATAAAATTGACTAAATGATTTTACAAGTCATTTTCTTTCTTCTTTGGAAGTGGTCCAACTCAAGCTAATTGATACTAGATGTTCTACAACAATCGACCATGCAAACCTGGTAACATCGATGAGGAACGTCAGGAAGGTGAAGAGAGTTGCCGACAGACAGACAATGGAGACAACTCCTATGAAGTAGCGGATAAAATTGAGCTCCTGCTTGCTGAAAAACATTGAGGGACATGGGGCAGAACAGTCCTTTTTGCCCATGAACGTGTAGCCCAGGTCTGGGTCGATCTTTAGCTCTCTGGGGCACCAGAACCCGTAATCTCTCTGGACAGTCATGGACGACTGGTCGGTGGTGTCCGTCCCTGTTAGGAGGTCCTCTGGACGAGGATACGGCTCGTCACAGTCTGGGAACCTGAAAAATTAAAGTTAAATAATGCAGCTTAATTTACTATCAATTTAGCCTCATTGATATTGATATATCACGTGATATAATAAACACCTATCAGTGAAAACGGATATATCAAAAGCCTTATAACAAGCATAATCACAAAGAAAAAGAAATAGTATCAGCTGTATCATCTCACATCCAGCACCTTGTTTGTCACCACATTGTTTTTATTGTCCTGCATGAGTCGTTTTTGGAAATATAACCTCATACACACCTGTTACATTCCATGTCGTCCAGCCAGTCCAATCCAAATACCTCCATGAGTTTGTGGCACTCATCCTTGGCCTGCTGGCAGAGGGATCGACATGGTAGGGAAACCTGGCCGTACACCGTGCACACCGGAGCGTACAGAGCACACAGGAACATCCTCAGGTCAGCACTGCAAACCAGGTTCACGATGGGATGGAAAGGCTGCAAAGCAGAGACATTTATTTAGTTTTTAATTTATGCTTTAACCTGCCAAAAAAAGCTACAGTGTGACAGTTGGATTTGGCTAATAGTGCATCGTAATCATACAAAAGGTCTCAAAGCTGTCTTGCAACCATGCACACATCCTTCAGATGTGTTCTAACTCCACTGCTGCAACGGATACTACTCCATCAATATTTAGAGGCTCATGAAATATGTAGCATAGCAATCATATTACCAAACATCCCTTGGAGGGACGGCAAAGGTTGAGCCACTGAACCAACAACCAGCAGGGCAACCAACACGCTAAAGATGATCAGTTATGACAATCAGGAGTCCGGCGTGTGACCTTCGGGCCGCTGAAAGGACAGCTCCCTGAGGAAACATGCTCCGTATGGGAGCAGTTAGCGCTACCACTCTTTCTGTAGATAGCCGCCGGCTACTTCTGCTCACGCTGACAGGTGAATTATTCATCCAGCTCTTCAGAAAACAAATTAGGACTTTAAAAACAGGAAAATGTGTCATTTTAAGATACGTGCAGAGATTTGTCAGGATATACGCATTTTTGAGAAAACTTTTTCTCTCAAGTCGTTGTTTGTGAATTACATATGAAAAGAGAACCAGTACGTTTTAATGATGATAACTATCAAGAGAGGAACACTTTGTTGGTGGGTTGGAAACGGCTGTGATATTTTAAAAAGAACTTTACAAAGCCTTAGTGATTGTCTGACAACTTAAACAAACGCTTACATTTGTGCTTTTGTGCAATGTGCACACCTGATATATTCAACATAGCTTAGTGATGTGCTCATACATCATCAGCAACCGCCAGCCACAGTATGTGCACATTGTGCTTTTAGGGTTATGTGTGCAAAGTGACCTGTATCTAATCAGCCTTTTAACATTTCAAATCATCCAGCTTCACTAAAGCGAAGCATTGAATGCAGCTTTCACGAGAGAAATCAGAGCAGAACCGTGACAGCAACGAATGGAGACTAGAACCACGAGTGTATATCAAATATGTGTACATGGGGACACAAAACAGTGCACTTACATTGATTGCTTCCCACAAAAGCTACAGTATGCTTACCGACTGTATGAGTGCATTTGTGCAAATACCCATGCATCATTGAGCGTGCGTGTGTGTGTTTTAATGTTTCTGTGTGGAGCCTTGCGAGTATGTTTTGATCGTTTTTCAATTGCTGTGTTCTACATCTCTACATTGTGGAGATGTTCCACCAGTAAATGGGTGAAGTGGAGCATGAGCTGTGTGACATAGTTTGGAGCTTCGCACGGAAAAAAATGTACGCATGCACACACAAACCACTCGGTTCCACTCAACAATTCACACTTTTAACTCGTGTGTTTTTTTTCGTAGTTTGTGGACACGCGAGCTTCACTGTGTAGTGACGGGGAGCACAGGCGTTTTGATCGTGGACTAAACCACCAGACGAGACAGACCTGGATAACCGCTGTCTGAGGTTTAAACACGATTCAATGTTTTAGCACTATGGCCAGAAGGTTTTTTATAAACTATGTCAAAGCAGATCTTTTGGGATACGTGTTGTATTCAATTTCTTAAATATGTCTTGAGTAAGTGTACCTGATAAAATAGGCATTTTGTAAATAACGAATAGTGTAAATATTACATTGAGTGCAGTGGCTACAGTCCCATTAAATAAGAGGTAATATAACAGTGAACATGCGGCAGTGTGCCTCAACACTCCTTCCTACACTTTATAGTGTGGTGTTGGTGACTAGTTAAGATAAATATGCTATAATGTGTCTGAGTTACCGTACATTAGGATGTGAACATGATGATCCCTCTGTCCTCGTCTGTCAACCTCTCTTACTCATACTTCTGGTATTTGCCCGAGGCCACACTTAACTAAGTGCTAGTTCTTTTTCTCTGTCCAAGTGTGTCTCACTGCCCAGCAGAGTGAAGCCTTTCTTTGAGTCTCCTCCTAGTAACTCGACAGCGAATATGAGTACGACTCCCATTTTGTGTGTCCCCATTCTGCCCATTTCTCCTGTGCATGTGGGGTTAGGCTTGTGTGCATGTATATGTGTGTGTGCGCGCGTGTGTGGGTGTCATTGTTCTTGTATTCTGGGCAAGTAATATGGCCCAGTTATCGTGTTTTCTCTTGTGTGCCTGCTCATCTCATGCATGTGTGCATATATCTGTGAGCAATTATTCTGCCAGTCAGGGCAAATTGCCCCGCATCGCCCACCAGAAAGAGAATATTGATATTAAGTGTCCTAACTGTGCCACCCAATGAGAAACGAGGGGGGCGGCGATCAGCCTTCCATGGAGGACGACTAGAGGGACTTGTCTGGCATTTTGTCGGCAATTGTGATGGAAAAGAAGGGAAAGGAAAGCTGAAAAGCCCTGAGGTTGCAGACTGCTACTAAAGGATGGAAGATAAGAACGTAGAGAGTAAATGTAGTGCATCGGCTTCCAGCCCAATCTCACATCAACAGATACAAAACCAATCAGATCTGCAGTGCTCCAACACGGGGGAGCTGCAGTATCGGTACTGGTTCATGATTACATCTAGTATCCACAGCTACTATTATCATTAGTCCTCTCTAGTATGGCTGCGGTTTCTGTGCATCTGTTTGTCTCTCTGTCCGACCACCATTGTTTACAATATCTGAAAAGAATCTCCCGCTTCATTTAACTGAAATACCTTTTTAATAAGCCCAACAATAATGGGAACCCCAACATTCTCCAGCTACAGTCAACCACAACACCTAATTTACATTTGAAACATACTAAAATAAAAAGCATATCCACTAAAAATGCTGGTAGGTTAACAGACAATGGTGGAAGAGGTTTATAATCAACTAAACGAGACATTTGTGCGTACCAGTGTTTGCCCTAAATTGGGAGCACTCGGAATAGGAAACAGGGTGGGATTTTTGACACAGAAGAAAATGAGAAAAAAAGACTCCAACTGGTCCACCTCTTGTTCAATAGAGGGATTAAGTTTCTTTCTCTTTACTCCCCGTCTCCAAAGAAACCTAGGGGGGGGGAGAAAAAAATACAAGGAAAGAAAAACCTTCCAGCTGAAAAACGACAAAGAAAACCTGAAATAGCCCAAACACAGACAGAATAAAGAGTCATATGATTCACAGCCACGTAATGCCAGCAATTCCGCTTTTAGGCACCAATAACCGGGACCTTTCTGATTGAATAAAGTACTGTTTTAGTGGATGTGCTACGGATTAAAGCATATACACTTTAACATGTTACATCAAGTCAGTAATATCAAAAAAACTATTGTTATAGATATTCTAAAGTTATTGATCATCAACCCCCAATAACCTTTCAATGGCTTCTCAAAAATCCCAAATCCCACAATATGCAATTTTTTTTACATACTTTTCTACACAATAAAAGACTTTGAGAATTAGACATTTATGATAACTAAATGAAGGCTGTTTGGTTCATGCTAATTTCATGGTTTATATATTAGGATTTTTACAGTTGACAACTCTGCCCATATTCAAAATTGGCGTATCCACAAAAAAAAAATCAACACCAAATGTTTTTAAAGCTGGTTATCAAAGTAATGACACGTTCTCCCTCCCTCCTCCCTCACTCTTTGAGGTAAAAAAAAAAAAAGAATGGTTTGGGTTGCGTTGGTGTAGATTCATATCCAAAACAGGAAAACCTAAATGTATTTTGGTAATATCTTTGAGTAGTGTGTTCAGATTGTGGGTCATTGAGCCAGTGTAGGCATGCGTTTGTGTGCCAGTGAGCCAACGGCAGAAACTCATACATTCACAAGTGGAGGAGGGAGGGAGGGAGGAGAAGAGGAGAAAAACTGGAATGGCAGGGAGAATAGAGTGGCGGTTTCCCGGTGGATTAGGGAGTCAAATGGATTGGAACGTGTGTTTAGAGTGTGAGAACCTGAGACGCACACACATGCATACTTCCTCAAACTCTCCCCAGCTTTGTGCTGTGGTCGGATCAAGGTGACAAGCGGTTGGGGTCTAAGCCTCCAAAAATACAGCTCCTGAACTGGCAGCAATGCCTGCTTTAAAAAACGCTCCAGCCTTGTGTTCTGGTGTTAAACGGGGAAAATCAAAGATGTCTTATCTGATCTGGGATTTTCAAATATAGTGTGTATTATGTTTATATGAGGTTCATTGACTTTGTTACATTTCTAAATCTTAAGAGGGCTTTCAGCCCATAATTATGACCCATAAACCACTCAATATCAAATGGTAAGGGTTTTCATGAGGAAAAAATCTGGAACATTTTATGTCTGGTAAAAAAAGCTAGCGGTATGCATGTTTTGCAAATAAGTGTTTTCATGGAAATGTTTGTGCACGGACTCTGGTCCATCAAGTAACAAATAAGTAACCTCAATCCCTTAAACCTGCACATTAAAAGGATTTAAATGTTGATCTTTTAATGCACTGGTAGATGTGATGTATCATGTCTTGCACCACTTGAGGTGACATTTAGAAAGGTTAATATTTTATTTTGCCGCTAAACCTCGCGAAAGTCCATCTGGACACACTCACATGCTCGGCAGCGCCTTTTCTTCCTCTCGCGCAACTCTCACATAGTAACTCACTTTCAAATCGGTCGGTCAGGGCCTACAGCACAAATGCTGTCAGACCACATCATCACATTAGTTAGCTACAATGTAACATCCCTGCAACATTCCTGCAGGTTCATGACTAAAATACTCAATTTATGCAGGAACTAATGTTCCGTTGGTTTCTGCCTCTTCACTGCGACTAGATCGCTCTTTTTTTTCAGGAATCAGGAAACATTTATTGCCAAAATATGTCAAACATACAAGGAATTTGTCTTGGCGGTTGGTGCGTGACAGTAGACAGTGTAACAATAGACAAGACAGCGGTGCACAAGTAATAAAATAAAATAAAATGAAATGCTAATGCAATGGGTTAGTAGAATAAGGCCTCCATCTCAGTCTCTTTGCTGCAGCTCACCTCCTGTTCTCCATTTTATTCACTCAGCATTG